CAGACCAGACCAGACAGACCAGACCAGACAGACCAGACCAGACAGACCAGACCAGACAGACCAGACCAGACCAGACAGACCAGACAGACCAGACAGACCAGACCAGACCAGATAGACCAGACCAGACTAGACCAGACAGACCAGACCAGACAGACCAGACCAGACAGACCAGACCAGACCAGACAGACCAGACCAGACAGACCAGGCAGACAGACCAGACCAGACCAGACAGACCAGACCAGACCAGACAGACAAACCAGACCAGACAGACAGACCAGACCGGACCAGACAGACAGACAGACCAGACAGACAGACAGACAGACAGACAGACAGACATATATGTATATGTATTTCTTTATATACCGAGTGGAGCAATAACATTGTCCACCTTGAATATATTTGCTATTTTTAGAAATATGAAAATATTTTATTTACAAAAGTTGTTCGGTATCAAGAGGACCATAATATATGCTGGTTATAATTTTTTTAGGTGAGGGCGCTTCGGAGATTTCGAGGTCAACTTCATTTTTTTAAATGCAATTATATGAATTTTTTTGATTATATGATTCCTCTAATTATTCTGTACATAAAAGTATCAAGGTAGAGAAATAAAAAATAGTTTACGAGTTATTAAACATTTTATATCAATATATACCAAAAGAATGTGTAAAATATCTCGTAAACTATTGGTTTTTTCATATCTCTACCATACTTTTATGTACAGAATAATTAGAGGAATCATAGAGTGAAAAAAATTTATCTACTTACACTTTAAAAAATGAAGTTGTCCTCGAAATCTCCGAAGCTCTTCCACCTAAAAAAAATTATAGCCAGCATATTATGCCTCTTAATACCGCACAACTTTTGTAACTACAATATTTTCATATCTCTAAAAATTGCGAAGATATTCAAGGTGGACAAAGTTATTGCCCCACACGGTATATATGCGAGAGTATATAAACATTTAAAAAGATATTCAAAACATTTAATTTGATACAAATTTTTCAATTAATAACTTGCAAAATTATTATAATTAATAGTAATTTCCATGTCTATGAATGCAAATTATATTTGACAATTAATACCTGAATGTCCTTATGCTCCGCTAATAGTCCTAATAGGAAACTTAAACCTGTCGCTGTAGTATCATGGCCCTAAAATCATATTAGACATATCGCAATATCGAATGGTGTGAAAAATTCAGAGAAATTACAAATGCATACCGCAGACATAAAAGTATCGACTTCTTCCCTAATATCTAAATCAGTCATAAGACCTTCGCGAGATGCAGCTATTAGGAGATCCAACATGGCAAGTCGCTTTCTTTGTGCTAAAATAAACATATTTGTTAGTACTTTATAGCTTCATAGTTTGGATTTTTTATCATAACATTATATTAGAAATAGAAACTGTATTTAAATTTCGATAGAATTAATAATATTGGATCAAAAGGAGTATGTTTTGATCGCATTACGTACTTCCATTTTTTGCGGAGGCAAATTCTGCTGATATATCATTACTAAGGTTTTTCAAGTATCGTCCATTAGTCCGTTCATGGTAAAGTTTTCGTTCAGCAATAATCTACATGAACACAATATTAATGCTCCTCTGACTAATAAGGAAGAATTAGCATTCTGTTATAAACATTAATGAATTAATCAAATAAATGAAACGCTAAATAACTCGAAGCTAGATTTAGTTGAGAATGCCTTATGTACACGTTCATGAAAAATATGAAACAGTGTATTAATTTCCTTAACAATGAGTGAGTATAGCAATGTAAATTCTTAAATACATTCTCCAGTTCTTCCAATTACACGTTAAATTCAGGTAACTTTGCAATACTTTTATTACAATAAACAGTAACCGAAATTAATAATTTATTCTACAAAATCTTTTACGATCATGAGAAATTTTTTTTTGAAAATGTGAAATCATCCAGGAATTATTTCGATTATTTAAAAAACCATGTAATTAATAATTACATTTGCTTTACTATTAGGTGTGTCGGATAATTCCGTCCGTTTTTATGCAAAAAGTATGACTTTATTTAAGAAACAAAATGAAAACGTACATCAAAGTATTGGCCACCGTTAGATATTACTTTTTCCTATCTTTCTGGTAATAAGCGGATCTTACGGCGAAAGAATGACTCATCTTTAAAGGCTATCCAGTTAGAGTCACATTTTTCGCTTTTATAAAAGGTGAAGTGTTCCTCTACAAGTAAGTGTGCCATCGAGCGAAACATGTGATAGTCGGAAGGAGCACAGTCTGGTGAATAAGCCACATGGGGTAGCACTTCCCAGCGAAGTGCTCTAACGTTTTCTTAACGAGTTTTGTGACGTGAGGTCAAGCGTTGTCATGAAGCAAGATCACTTTATGCTGTATCTATCTCGTTTCATATTCTGGTCTTTTTTCGTGCAACGCTCGGCTCAAACGGATAATTTTTTCTCGGTAGAGATCTCCTGTGACTGTTTGACCAGATTTCAACAACTCATGGTACATTACACCCTTCTGATCCCACCAAATACAAAGCATTGCCTTCTTTCAGTGGATATTCCGCTTTGGCGTCGATGTCGATGGTTGGCCTGGATCGTAAATGGTTTTTCGACGTTTGGGGTTATCGAAATAGATCCACTTTTTATCGCCAGTCACAATTCGGTGCAAATATCCCTTTCTTTGTTACCTAACAAGCAGAATTTCGCAGGTGGTTTTTCGCTTTTCAATGTCTTTTGACTTCAGTTCATATGGGACCCATTTTCCTTCCTTGTAGATCTTTCAAAAGGCTATCAAACGGAAATAACAGATCGAACACAATTCAATGTTTTTGGAAGTTGCTTTGCCTGCACTTCTTCGTCTTCAAATGCTTTTGGCCGTCCAGAATGCTCTTTGCCCTCCACATCAAAATCTCTACTTTGAAAGCGTCGAAACCATTCTCTACATGTTTTATCGGAAGGAGCACTGTCACCATAAACTTCTACAAGCAGTCGATGAGTTTCAGCTGCAGTTTTCCTCCATTTGAAGCAAAAGATGAACACTTCGCGCAAATTATACTTATTTGGCTCAAATTTCGAAATTTTCGATGCAGTAAAAGCAATGATATTGATGCACACATATACTTTTATATACTGAATTTTATTGACAGATGGTAAAACTAAAAAGTTAAGCTTGGTTTAGACATTAGAATTAAGACAGTTCTAGCTATATAGCTACTCGCAGCTAGATGGATGGAACTTTCCGACATACATAATATGTTCTGTAGATTTAATTAAATTTTTTGATTTTTGAATTGCGAACAACTCTAAGGATGATCTAATAAAAATGTCAAAATGTTTTATTCTCAATAATAATTATAAGATAGGAATATAAATTTGGCGCGCCTCTACTAGTCTAAAACAATTAAGTTGAATTTCAATTTTTTATTATTGTAAGATATGATTGTATAAAGAACGTTTTCTCTAAAAGGAAATTTTCTCTCTCAAGAGATTGCGCTTTTATGTTCTTTTCTTTATAATATTGATTCCGAAAGGTACTATTTATCGAGGCATTCTTCCACGATATAGTTTCGATTATACCTGCATCATTTACTTATGGTCTTTAAATGATTTATTATATCTTATATTTTTATCTACTTACATACTTATGGTGATCTATAGTTTCAATTATTATTATAAATAAATTATTTTGCGCAAAAGATATTTATATACAGTCATAGAACACTTCCCGTCGTTTCTCAGATTAGATGATGCAGACGCATTCGTATTACATATGTAGCATTTTTTATAGATACATACTTGTTCAGTAAACCCATGTAATATCTTCAAATTCCTTGCTTGCTGTTTGCCCTTTGGCGTCAATGAGAATATCCAATCAGAGTGCAGCCATGGCCTTAACATTCTAAACCACAATTACTGAATTATAGGCAGGCACACTATTTTAAGAAAATATTATTTTTTGCTAAAGTTTTCTTTTATTGCTCTATAAACTCTCAGGAAATTAGAAATATTTTAATAATATAAAAGAAATAAAACATAGAAAGTGAAAATGCCTAATCGAGTCTTGTAACAGGATGTTAGTGTTTTATTATCATTGTGTGAATATTATATACCGCGTATGTAGTTCCCCCCCCGCACACTGATGGATTTTCAGCATTGACGCAAACATATTCACTACCGCAGTAATATCACTTGAGTTAAATTGACAAACAATTTAACAAATTTCGATGCCTATAGCATCTAATTAGATCTTAATAATATGTTGAAAGACATATATTAAAATTTAATATTGAAATCATGATAATTTTAAATCTATGAAAAATAATCAGATTGCGAAGAATATCACAAGTTGGCGTTTCGTCCCGGTTTCACTTTTTATGATTTTCAAATCTTACGGGTCTATTGATATCATCTTTTCAATATATAAAAGAAGTATTTTAATTAAATTGCAATAAAGAGATTTATAAGGCTGTATATTGTACTTCTATACTACTTTTTTAACTATATAGTTTTGTATAAAGATTGCATTCATTAAGTTGTACGTTATTATAATATTTATACTTGATTCTTCAGTAGCGGTTTCAAGGGGCATCGTAAGGAATTAAATTCTTCTATCATAGAAAAACCCTGTTATGTGAGTAACTTTTGTTTTGTTTGTTTTCTTTAAAGTATGTTGGTAACTTGTTTGCACTCAGTATAGCCTTTACTGTAGTCAATGGTCACGTTCAGCAGACTCAACAGTTGCGGAGCGGATCCTCACTGCTATTGGTATATATTTTTTTAGATCATCCAATAACAGCGAGCGTTTACAGATCCGTTCCGCAACAGTTGAGATTGCTGAACGCGACCAATGGCTATTGCACGAAAGTGTATGATATGCTTCGAAGCCGTGGACCGTGTACATTAATGTCAAATTTTTGGTCAACGATACTCTTTAGATTTTGTACGAATAATTTTTATCTCATTTCTGTGCTAGAAAACATATGAGTAACAAAAATTTTAACAGTGATGATAAAGTCAAAGCTAAGTGGTCTGTAAAAGTCTGAAATTCCAACCATCCAAGGACTTATCTTTTTATACCACTAAAATAGAAAATAAAAATAAGAAGAAGGAGCATATACCACACGCTGGTTAAAAGTAGCGAAAATCTCGTATATTTAATACAACTAAAATTACATAATTATAAACGTTTCGGTCATTAATGTGACCATCTTCAGTATATAAAAAAACTTATAATTTAATTCCCCTAATATATTTTAAATAAAACTAAGTGCTGGGGCACAACTTTTCACATGTTTGTCAATTATTCTATAATATAAGATATTCATCAGTTATAATTTGTCAATTTTAAAGTCAATTCGCAAATAGAAATGGTGTCAAATTAAAAAGTGATTCGCATACAGATCATATCAAAACGTAACAGTATACAATATAATTTTCTTCATGTCCTTACAATTCAGATAATGAGTTTGTTAAAGTATTGGCATCGACCATGATTTGAGAAGTTCTCAAATCATGGTCGATGCCAATACTTTAACAAACTCATTATCTGAATTGTAAGGACATGAAGAAAATTATATTGTATACTGTTACGTTTTGATATGATCTGTATGCGAATCACTTTTTAATTTGACACCATTTCTATTTGCGAATTGACTTTAAAATTGACAAATTATAACTGATGAATATCTTATATTATAGAATAATTGACAAACATGTGAAAAGTTGTGCCCCAGCACTTAGTTTTATTTAAAATATATTAGGGGAATTAAATTATAAGTTTTTTTTATATACTGAAGATGGTCACATTAATGACCGAAACGTTTATAATTATGTAATTTTAGTAGTATTAAATATACGAGATTTTCGCTACTTTTAACCAGCGTGTGGTATATGCTCCTTCTTCTTATTTTTATTTTGAACTCAACCACTTGATCTTTAAATAATTTTTAAAATAGAAAAACTAGTGTCACGTTCAATTACTTAAAACTCAATGGTACCTACGTTATAAAGTAACTTAAGACAGTTAATCAAATAAAAAGGTTTTATAATCGTTTTTCATTTTTCATTTCCCTACGATAGGAAACCTTACTTTCGAAATGCCCTTCTTAATATCTGAAAATCAATAAATAATCTTTAAGTAAATAATTTAACTGATCATCAAAATATATAAACGTAATTTAAAATAATTAATATAAGGTGTAATTACAAGTATCTTACAATTTTATCTTTTGTTATTATTATTTAGCATAATATGATTATAAAATATTTATCAATTTATCGTAAAAATGTGGAACAGAATGTGTAGATATATACTATATTATACCTATAAATTACCTATACATAATAATTTCGGTTATTCGGAAAATCGCTTCTCGGTACTGTTTCTGGAAGTCACCGTGGTCCTGTAAAGAAGTGCCCATAGCGGTTTCTGCAAATGGATTTATAATAATATATAATAATATATTTATATATTTATATATACTTCAATAATACATATAGATGTAAAATGACACATTTATCAATATTGTGTTGAATCGATATTTTGGATAAAAAGTTGCATTTGTTTTACATTATTCCTAAAGCTTTTTATGTATATTTAAGAATATGATACAGTACCACATATTGCATTCAGAGTATATTCACTAACAAACGATACGACATCATTTACAACTGTCTCTCTTGAATTTTTCAAAATCTTTGTCATATTTTCGCCTTGCTGAACCAAAACGTCGACGAACTGTTGCAATATATCGAAATGAAATGTGGGAGTTAATATCTTTCGGCGTGAATGCCACTTGACGGCTAAAATAAAAATAAAACGTGTAATATATAATTATGACATAATTTTTAATTTAATTTTAAATTAATTAATTTTACATTGCAAAATTTATTTCTATTATGTGCATTTAAACGTTTTAAAATACATAATAATATATATATACTAATGAACAAAGAAGTATCCTTATTTATTTTATAAAGAAATAATACTACAAATACATTAATTTATAATAAGTGTAATGTTAAACTTATTTCAACGATCTTATTTTTTTTTTTATACAATGAAAGTTTGGCAGTAACAAGTTAACAGTAGATAAAATATATATTCCTATTAATATGCTTATACCTTTACTAGTGATAAGACCAGAACCAATCGAAGGTTTAAAAAAATCATACAATATACTCTTTTCGAGGTGTTTCGTGTTGCTTAAGATTGTCTGAAATTACGGACAGTAATAAGTTTGAAATAGCATTTAACTTACAATAGACGCAACGCAGATAATCAGTTGCTTTCCAAAGAGTTCAAATATTTACTTATCTTTAATAAATTTGCCAAAATAGACACAAATTTTTACAATATATAAATAATAAAAAAATTATTTTATTTAATATAACTGTATTAATAATAAAAGAAAAATAAAAGTTTTCATAATTCGTTACTTGTATATCATCCGGATCACGGATTATTACACCCTGTAAAAAAAATATCCTAAGTTTAACAATAGGATAATATTGGTTGGAAATGCCAACTATAGCGTTCCATTGTTTTTCTGAAAAATGTAAATATGTGAGTACTATGTAAATTTACCATATTAAAGTAAACATTGTTCCAAAGAAGAAATTGCAAATTTAAATAATTCTTAAAATTATTAATGTAACATCCAATAATTTTTATGCCTTATAGAAAAATGTACGCATATATGCTTGCATTAGAGAACATTAATTTACTTAAAAGCATATAAAAAATTTTAACTTACCTCGTGAACCCAATAATTGAAATACGTTTCCAAAAATCGGGTAACCTGGTGGTCCTGGTATAAGATTAAAAAGTCGCCCATTTTTCCCATAATGCACATAATAATTGCACACAAATATAATAAGTATTAAAAATATCAATATAGCAATAAACATTGCGTTTGATCAAATAATCAGCCAGTTTATATAATTTTATTTGTCTCTTTTTCTTTTCTCTTTCTCGCTTTTTTATTCTTTTAATTTTGAAGTCACATGAAACACTAAATGCATATGCATAACATACCTAAAAATTTAATATTGTACAAGTTTTTAATTAATTTTTGTTAATCCGTTTTTTTCTAATTATTTTAAACTTATTCTATTACTGCAAACGTTTGTTAATGAAGAGAGTGCTATACGATAAACCAACGCTTGCTGATTAAATGCTACTAAACATGATTGTACATTCGTTTTTAATAACTACTTATATAAGCAACATCACTGATGCAAGAACATTCCTGGCAATTATAAATAATACAATTTTCATATGATTTGCAAAGCAAATATTAGAGTAAATAAAAACTTTAATGTGGTTCGTATAATATGTATTATATATTATATATAAATATATATATACAATTTAAAAATCTTCTCAATCTTTTGTAGTTTCTCTCTCCGTTTAGCAAAACCAGTTCAAACTTTACATAATATCATATGTCTTATATAACAATTGTTATAATATTATATTAATAATTACATCAGTAACGTATTCAAAATTACATATTCAAAGCATGCTATGTATCATAAATAATTTGCTACTTAAGTATCAATTTTATCTACCTCATATGGTTCTTTTTACGATGGAATTTTAATTGCCAACACTATAGCCAAAATTTGTTCGAGTATTATACCATGAAAGTTCTTGAAAATTTAAGTAAAAGAGTTTTTATATTTCTTTTTGTAGAAATAACAAGAATAATCAGGCTAATGAGAGCTATTTCAGCTGTTGTTAGTGCGATCATATATAAGATATATTAAAGTGTGAATATTATATACTACGTAAGTAGTTCCCCCCCATTGCGCGCCGAACGTTCGTCGGACTTAAAACGCAAATCTAATCAACTACCGTAGTAATATCACAATTTTTGAAGCTTATAGCATCTAAAATTGGATCTTAATAATATGTTGAAAGACATATTAAATTATTAAATTATAATATTTAAAGTAGAAATAAATTTAAATCTAAGAAAAATAAGAATTGTGAAGAATATCACGAGTTGGCGTTTCGTCCCGGTTTCCACTACTAGACTCATCAGTAAGGTAATGTAGTGGGAGCCTACCTTAGACGCCTGGGAGAGATGTTAATATATCTTATATATGATCGCACTAACAACAGCTGAAATAGCTCTCATTAGCCTGATTACTCTAGTTATTTGAACCTTTCGAGAGTCTTCTTTAATTGATTTGTTGAATATACGCTGGCTGAAAAAATGCGTTTGTTACTTTCAAATTATTATTTACATAAAAGAACTTTGTGAAGAATATCACTACGTCGACTTGCCAACAGAGGTGTATAGTTAATCGTATCATTTCTCGCAAGTGCCGAATTACATGATTATTTGTTTATATAGAACTTCTTTCTAACATCTCTCCCAGGCGTCTAAGGTATGCTCCCACTACATTACCTTACTGATGAGTCTAGTAGTGGAAGCCGGGACGAAACGCCAACTCGTGATATTCTTCACAATTCTTATTTTTCTTAGATTTAAATTTATTTCTACTTTAAATATTATAATTTAATAATTTAATATGTCTTTCAACATATTATTAAGATCCAATTTTAGATGCTATAAGCTTCAAAAATTGTGATATTACTACGGTAGTTGATTAGATTTGCGTTTTAAGTCCGACGAACGTTCGGCGCGCAATGGGGGGGAACTACTTACGTAGTATATAATATTCACACTTTAATATATCTTATATATGATCGCACTAACAACAGCTGAAATAGCTCTCATTAGCCTGATTATTCTTGTTATCTGAACCTTTCGAGAGTCTTCTTTTTGTAGACGTTATTTAATTTTTATTTTTAGCAATAGTTTTCGAGATGTGTGCATGCGTAACATATTACGTTTAGATGATTATGTGCGCATGCAATAGATTAATGAGCGTACTTATGAACAATCATGATGCAGAAAAGATGTGTATATGTATTATTTATACGCATATACTTATTTATAATTAAAAGAGACTACAATATTTTTATTCAATGCTGGAATATGCATGAGAGACGTTATTTCTACGACCTCCAAATCAAGGAATTATTATCAAGGAAGAAAAGATTTACATAGTAGAAATGTTCCTCCTTATAAGGTACCATACATAAAATGTATTTTCATTTTTATTATTGTAACATATAATTTTGTATTTCAAATAATTAAAGTAAATTTGTCACATTTTATAAAAAAAAGAATTTCTGTATATTCTTTGTTACAAAATCCTGTTTTAAAATGTTAATTTAATGGATAGAAGCATGGCGTAGAAATACAAGATGAAACGTTCCCGCGGATGTACACAGTAGCAGAATGAATTTAGACCCAAATTTAATTGGTTATTTCCACTACATTGTCGTCATTACGTGCAACATTTCACTTTGCTTATTACACCATGGATAAAGATATATATCTAAATATATTCACAATACTAAATAATCACTGATGGTTCATTTAATATTTTATTCTATTAACTACAGTAATTATACACTACCGGCCAAAAGTTCGTGAACGCTCCGAATTTTCGAACGCGTCAAATAATATATCATATCAGCGAATTCTTTGAGATATTGAGAAAACCAGTAGGATATCTTTTAAAGTACAGGAATAAAGCTTTCAATTGGTGGATTCAGTTTTATATCAGACATTATAGTCTCTTAGATGTCGTATTTTCAAAATGTTGAATTTTGCGACTTTTTTCTTCCAAATTTTATCTCTGACAGCAAGTGTAAAAAATTTTTCTCGCTATTACCATAATTTTGTATAAATACTTCAGGTCAAGACCTGTAAATTCCATTTTGAGAAAAAAGTCGATGCGATTTTTTGTTCCAAAGTTATGATTTTTTGAAAATTTTCAGTTTTACTCAGTATTTACTAAATATTGCGAAGAATATTACTATGTCGACTCGCCATCAGAGATCTATCGATATTCGCAAAATTCTCGCAAGTGCTGAAAATACGCATATATCTCTTTATATAGATTCTCGATTGAATAACTCTTGCAGGCGTATAAGGTAGGCTTCCACTACAATGCCTTACTGATGAGTCCAGTAGTGGAAGCTGGGACGAAACGCCATATTTATGTGATATTCTTCGCAATATACTAAAATTAATTTATTATAAGTAGTGACAATTTGGTTGCGGTTGTCGAGGACTTTGTAAAGTCGAAACTTTTCCGTATGCCGGTGTTATTATCATTATATAATAAATTTATAAATATATCTCTAACAACTAGTATAGCTCAATTTATTCTTGACCTGGGAGGTTTATTAAGTTTAATTTGAAAAATTTATTTGAGCGGATATTAATTTAATTTAAGTTAATTATTATAAAAGTATTTATTAAATTAATCAAGTATTAGGTATAAAAGTGTAATTAAGTTCTAGTTATTAAAGAGGGCATATTTAATTATATATCTTCATTACATGAGTTACCAGTTATTTCTCTATACATATAATATGTTATATTTATATACGTATTTTATCGTTTTTCTATCATTTACCTTTCACGACATTCATTAAAACTATACTTTATTCATAACATTGCATTAATTTTGAAAACGAGGGACAAATTTTATACGAAGTGGATGACTTAAACGAAGAACAATATCAAACTCTATAGAAAAATTCTTTAAGTAATCAACAGGCTCCAAGTAAAAATTATGTACCAAAGAAGCTGCCATTACTTTGAGTTCTAACATAGCAAATCGTTGACCTAAAATTTATTATATTATAAACTAATCATATAAGACAATATAAAAATATATAAAACTATTGCTTACCGATACAATTACGTGGTCCAGCACTGAATGTTATATACGAGTAAGGATGACGATTTCGATCCCTCTCAGGCAAAAATCTGTCAGGATCAAATACTTCTGGATTTGGCCAGAAATTGGGATCTCTATTAACTCCATAAATATGGATTAGTATATTTATCCCAGCAGGAACTACATATGATTCTGCAAAGCATAATGTAAAATAATATAAAGAATAATATTTAAATATATAGTATGTATTATAAATATTTATAAGTTGCATTAAAATTTCAAAATTAAATATTTATCTGACGGTAATGAATGCTTATATAGCTCATATAACATAATATAAAATATTATGTAATAATTATATAAATTTACTAAATTTACGAAAAACACGATTTTCTAAAAATATTGAATGTTATATTGTATGTAGCTTTATAGTTTGAATAGTATGCAAATTTACATTAATACTCGTAATATAAATATAGAAATTTTAGAATCTTTAAAATGTGAGACTCTTGTATATATATTTTATATATAGATTTAACTATTTCATTTAATGTTTCAACTACTAGAATCATGTCGGTTTCTTGTCGGTTTCTTGATGATAAAATCCTATCAAAACATTACATTAATGTCAATGTAATGACAAGTGAAATAAAATCTAGATTATTTAACACCATATCTTTTGACATCTAGATTATCCGAGCTTGTGTGGTGTTCTCTGTAAACGTTATGCTAGTAATCTGGCTAAAGCAAATCGGTCTTTTGAATTGGTACCTTCTCCATTCTATATACATATTACAATATATTTCGAGAGTTTTACAGTTACGAAAAGTAAGAGAAAGTAAGAAAATAGGGGAAAGAAATAGATAGATAGAATTATATATCTGCTATTTTTTATCTCCTTTGACCAAATTCATATCTAAAAATTTCGAGTATTTTTATAAAATGGAAACCTATCACTTGAAAAAATTAAACATAATACTTTATTCACTGGACCTCGATAAGGGGCTTTTGAATAATCCGATAATCGAAAATTACGATGCCGATAAATCAAAGTTCTATTGCACTTGATACTTCAACATAAAAATGACGTCTTTGACAACATACATAATCGAGATCGGAACGGAAATAAGAGCGGAAACATATTGATGACATAATGAGAATAAAGGTTTGAGCATAAAAAATGTATCATTAACATTAATTTAAAATATGTTTCTTGTTATTTTAATCATTTTATGTATTGATAAATAAGTAAATTTCAAGTAAATTTCTTGAAATTTCCACAATATATGTATATATATATTTAAAAAATATCAAGATTAATAATCCATATTCTTCGATATTACATATACAATACATGTCTTGATTAATTTAAATGAAATATATGTACATACATATAATTTTTGTATATATGATATACTGATATAAAAAAAACAATTAGTACATTGTACATATATGTGTAATATACAATTAATTGTGTCTGATAATTATTGACACAACTCTTTTGTATGTAAATAAAACGGACAAAACCGAATCGAAAAGTCTTGTACAAATGCAAATTTTGCGATAGTTAACAATTTATAAATTAAACTGAATCTATGTAACGTCCTATATACATAGCACGTAGTTGAAACGTATTTCAGATGATGAAGGTCGCAATATATGCAGCACACAAAGCGTAAAATTAAAAGTTTATTCTATTTCCTGCGTTCTGCGTGTTATGTATGGTAATTCCGGCTATACAAAAGATTACCGAATATCATGACCTAAAACCAAGTATGTACATTCATCAACTAAAAAATTACAATATTTCTTTTAGTGGGTTTCGGAAATGAAGCCTGCCCATTAAGCGATTGGTTTTTACTTATTGATTTAACTATTTACGTTCAACCGCCCTACGGTCTGTTCCACACAGAACACGTCAACGCGTTACTTATGGGAAAAAAAATGTAATTTAAAATTTAAATTTGAGTCAATTAAATTCTCAAAGAGATCAGAATAAAATTGGATATTGAGCTGTCTCTTGCGATGCGAAATGCATTAATGCATTCTCTGTATAACAGTCTCACAAACAAAGAGTTCTGAAGCTCATTAAAAAATTGGTTGCAATCTTATAGCCGATGAGTGTACAGTGGCCTAATTTACATCGTGAGATTGATACGAGTACTAACCAGTAACTTTCTATTGAATTATCTTAATTTCAGCGGTATGTAAACATATACATGATATGTGTATTTAATTAATTATTTTGATGCATATTTTACTAATTTAACACATTATTCTTTAAATATATTGTTGAAATTAAGATTATTTAATAGAAAATTACTAGTTAATACGCGTATCAAGTGCTCGATGTAAAAGCTAGGGGTCAGTGCGGAGCATTAATTCGCTGAATAATAATAGGAGCTTGACTTATCAATGTTGAGTTAGTAACGCACAAAGCGCGCGCGTGCTTGTAAAAAGAAGAGAATCTGATAAACTGAATGAATGACCGAATGAATATATGAATTTAGTTTATGCATTTCTACAGGAATATATAATTTTATACTCAACAAGAAAAATCGTAACAAGTTTCCACACAGTTTGTCAGTGACGACTCTTTCTTATTTCAAGCGCGCGCGTATTTTGAGGTTTACCGACTCAGTGTCAAGTTACTAATATGATACAGCGAATTAATGCTTAACACTGTATGGTACAAAGCGCGACAAAATAGAACTCACACACAAACACAAACACGTACGCACGCACGCACGCACGCACGCACGCACGCAGACAGACAGACAGAGAGAGAGAGAGAGAGAGAGAGAGAGAGATGTATATGTATATTTCTTTATATATAATATATGTATATACACATGTTTGAGAGTATATAAACATTTAAAAAGATATTCAAGATGTTTAACTTGATATAAATTTTCAATTGATAACTTCCAGAATTATTATTATTAATAATAATTTCCTTATCTAAGAATGAAGTTTATATTTGATGATTGATACCTGAATGTCCTTGTGCTCCGCTAATAGTGCTAATAAAAAACTTAAACCTGTCGCTGTAGCATCATGGCCCTAAAATCATATTAGACATATCGCAATATCGAATGGTGTGAAAAATCAAGAGAAATTACGAATGCATACCGCAGACATAAAAGTATCGACTTCTTCCCTAATATCTAAATCAGTCATAAGACCTTCGCGAGATGTAGCTATTAGGAGATCCAACATGGCAAGTCGCTTTCTTTGTGCTAAAATAAACATATTGTTAGTACTTTATAGCTTAATAGTTTGGATTTTTTACCATAACATTATATTAGAAATAGAAACTGTATTTAAATTTCAATAGAATTAATAATATTGGATCAAAAGGAGTATGTTTTGATCGCATTACGTACTTCCAATTTTTTCGGAGGCAAATTCTGCTGATATATCATTACTAAGGTTTTTCAAGTATCGTCCATTAGTCCGTTCATGGTAAAGTTTTCGTTCAGCAATAATCTACATGAACACAATATTAATGCTCCTCTGACTAATAAGGAAGAATTAGCATTCTGTTATAAACATTAATGAATTAATCAAATAAATGAAACGCTAAATAACTCGAAGCTAGATTTAGTTGAGAATGCCTTATGTACACGTTCATGAAAAATATGAAACAGTGTATTAATTTCCTTAACAATGAGTGAGTATAGCTATGTAAATTCTTAAATACATTCTCCAGTTCTTCCAATTACACGTTAAACTCGGCATTATTATTGTAACATGCAATAATTTATGTCTCACAGAAAAATGTACACATATATGCTTGCATTAGAGAACATTAGTTTACTTGAACATATAAACAATTGTAACTTACCTGGTGAACCCATTAATTGAAATGTGTTTCCAAAAATTGGATAACCTGGTGGTCCTGGTATAAGATTAATAAGTCGCCCATTTTTTCCGTAATGAACATAATAATTGCACACAAATATAGTAAGTAACAATAATAGCAATATAGCAACAAGCATAGCGTTTGATCAAATAATCAGCCAGTTTATATAATTTTATTTGTCTCTCTCTTACTTCTCTCTTTCTCGCCTCTTTGTCTTTCTAATTTTGAAATCACATGAAACACTAAATGCATATGCATAACGTACCTAAAAAATACCTAAAAATTTGATATCGTACAAGTTTTTAATTGATTTTTGTTAATCTGTTTTTTTTTTATATTTTAAGCTTATTATATTACTGCAAACGTTTGTTACTGAAGAGAGTGCCACGATAAACCAACGCTTGCTGATTAAATGCGGCTAAACATGATTGTACATCCGTTTTTAAGTTTTCTGCTTATTCGTTTAAATCATGCAATGTTAACAACTATAACATGTTACTGTAATTAATTTTTTATTAAATCTTTGTAATAACTACTTATACAAGCAATATTACGGATGCAAGAATGTTCTTGACGATTATGAATAATATGACTTTTCACATAATTTGCATAGCAAATGAGTAAATAAAAACTTTAATGTAGTTCGTAGAATATGTATTATTGATTAAATATGAAATTATGTGTATATGATTTCATGAATTCGTATACATAATTGCATGTTTAATCGTTAATTTTATCACTTGTGGTACTATACTGTAATGAATCTGGATGCAGTCCAAATTTGTCGTTTCAATCAAAATTAGGTTAGAAAAACAAAAATTGTATTCTAATGAAAATTTAGTCATTCGAACAGCACAATTTTCAAGTAATAAGGTAAGAAAACTCTTTTTTTTGTTAGTCACAACTCAGGAAAATAAATAGTTATCAAATCAATTTCCTCAGCGAGTGCTACATATATGTATATGTGCTTAAGAAAGCTATACGGTCCTGATATGGGCCGGAGCTAAGGTTACCTCTTTATTGTTACATTTGGTCCTGAGCGTATAAATATAAAGAGGTGTTACTGTATTGCCTTTTCTTATTAATGCTGTTCTTATGTTTCAATAAAAGTGTGCAGTCTTTTTTAATTATAAATAAGTATATGCGTATAAGTAATACATACACAGATCTTTTCTGCGTCATAATATATTCTTTGTTATAAAATCCTGTGTTTTAAAAAGTTAATTTAAGGGATAGAGACATGGCGTAAAAATACAAGATGAAACGTTCCCGCGGATATATAGTAGGATAATGAATTTAGACCCAAATTTAATTGGTTCTACTATATTGTCGTCATTATGAGCAATATTTACTTTGCTTATTACACCATGGATAAATAAGATATATTCCTAACAATAAATATATTCACAAAATAAATAATCACTGATGGTTCATGTAACATTTTATTCTGTTAACTACATTAATTTATTTACTATGTTAATTATATTTATAATATATATATAATACGTGTGTGATGTATACAGTATAATTATGAAAATATTTATTAAATTAGTTAAGTACTAGGTATAAGTGTAATTAAGATCTAGTTGTTAAAACTTACACTTATACTTAGTACTTAACTAATTTAATAAATATTTTTGAAGATATATGTATATATTTTCATTACAAGAGTTACGAGTTATTTCTCAATATGTATAATAGGTTATATCTATTTCTATATTCATGTTTTACCATTTTTCCAACGTTTACCTTTCACGACATTCATTAAATCTATATTTTATTCACAATATTGCATTAATTCTGAAAACGAGAGATAAATTTTATACGAAGAGGATGAGTCAAGCGAAGAATAAAATCAAACTGTATGGAAAGATTCTTTAAGTAATCAATAGGCTCCAAGTAAAAATTGTGTACCAAAAAAGCCGTCATTATTTTCATTTCTAACATAGCAAATCGTTGACCTAAAATTTAATATGTTCTGCAAACTAATCATATAAGACAATATAAAAATATATAAAACTACTGCTTACCGATGCAGTTACGTGGTCCAGCACTGAATGTTATAAACGAGTAAGGATGACGATTTCGGTTCTTCTCAGGCAAAAATCTATCTGGATCAAATACTTCTGAATTTGGCCAAAAATTGGGATTTCTATTAACGTCATAAATATTGATTACTATATTTGTCCCAGCAGGAACTAAATATGATTCTGCAAAGTATAATGTAAAATAATGTAAAGAATAATATTTAAATAATGTTTTATAAATAATAACTATAAATCGCATTAAAATTTCAAAATTAAATATTTGTCTAATATAAGACGGTAATGGATGCTTATATAGCTTATATGACATGATATAAAATTAAAAATATTATATAATTATTATATAAATTTACTAAGTAACACTATTTTCTAATAATATTGAATGTTATATATTGTATGTAGCTTTATATATAAAATAGTTTGAATAGTACGCAAATTTACGTTAATACTCGTAATATAAATATAGAAATTTTAGAATCTTTAAAATGAGATTCTTGTATTTTATTTATATAGATTTAACTATTACATTTGATGTTTCAACTACTAGAATCATGTTTTTTGTCGGTTTCTTAATGATAAAATGTTATCAAAACGTTACATTAATATCAATATGATGACAAATGTAATAAAACCCAGATTATTTGACACCATATTTTTTGACACCCAGATTATCTGACCCTGTCGTCGTGCTCTCTGTAAACGTTATGCTAGTAATGTGGCTAAAGCAGATCGGTCTTTTGAATTAGTGCCTTTTCCATTCGATATACATATTACAATGTATTTCAAGAGTTTTACATTTACGAGGAGTAAGAGAAAGTAAGAAAACGAGGAGAGAAAGAGATATATATAATTATGTATCAGCTATGTCTTATCTCCATTGACCAAAATCATATTAAAAAATTTTTTGTATTTTATTCTTATAAAATGTGTGTGTGCGTGCGTGCGTGTGTGTGCGTGTGCGCGTGTATACGTGTAGAAATCTATCACTTGAAAAAGTCAAACATAATACTTTTGTCCCTGGACCTCGATAATGGGCTTGAATAATCCGATTAATGAAAAATACGATGCCGATAAATCAAAGTTCTATTGCACTCGATATTTCAACATAAAAATGACGTCTCTGATAATATACGTATTTCTCGAGATTGGAATGGAAATAAGAACGGAAACAAATTGATGACGCAATGAAAATAAAAGTTTGAGCACAAGAATTATAATGCTTTTTAGACTTAAGTACAGCACAAGCTTTAGAGTATATGCCGTACGACTATAATTTCTAATTAAGTGTTATGACAATTGTGCTCGCAGATTCTTACTATTAACATTTCGGAGCATGGATCAACCATATCGGTATTATATATAGCACTTTGCGTTTAAACGGCCAAATGAACCGCAGTACAAATTCCATTTTTAAACACAGTATTGGATAATCTGATTTCTAATAACCTTACTACTTGAGATTTTGACTAATACTTTTAAAAATAAGCAATATCTTGGTAATACGTGTTGGCGTCGAGTGGCTCACCGCTCTATGCGATTGACTCGCGATTTGTAGACCCGAGTTCAATCCCACGTGCGCCCAAACGCGATTTTTCGCGTTTAATGAGCCAAAAAATGGCTCCACTTGGTGATCAAAAGATCTATGATCATCAGCGCCGTTCGGATTCGGCGTTAAACTGTAGGTCCTAGGTCCTATACATCCGTATACATCAGTAGTATACATATCAGTAGATATTTGTCTCTAATATCTGACTGAGGTAGGATTCTGTGGACCAATCACCCACAAATCCGAAAAACAATCTGATTCGAGAAACGAATATAGGCCTCGAACAAAAGAGGTCTATAGACGTCCTATGCTCCACATAAGGAGATAAAAGGAGTTAGTGAGTGTGGTAATACGTACGTAGTTTTACGTCTTCTCCGGAAACACGTATTATAAAAGGTGCGCTGGGATACAAACGTAACGCTTCTTTTATACATCTTTCTAAATATGGCAGTTGTTGCAACAATTTCATAGAAATTTTCTCGTCATTCTCTTGCATAGCGGAATCAATTTCATTCCTGACACGATCCTGCATCATTAACATTAACTTGAAATACGTTTCTTGTTATTTTAATCATTTTATGTATTGATACATAAGTAAACTTCAAGTAAATATCTTAAAATTTCTACAATATTTATTTAAAAAATAGATTAATAACCATAAAATCTAGATTAATAACCATATGTTTCGATATTACATATACAATATATATGTCTTGATTAATTTATATGAAATATATGTGCACGTACCTATGCAATTTTTTATACATATATGCTATATACTAATATAAGGAAAAACAATAGTATATTATACATATATGTATAACATACAATTGTGTCTGATAATTATCGACATAACTTTCTTATATGTAAGTAAACCGGACTAAACCGAGTCGAAAAATCCTGTACCATTTTGCAAATTTGACGATAGTTGACAAATTATAAATTAAACTGAATCTATGTAACGCCCTATCTATATAGTACGTACAATGCAAGTTGCATGTCACAATTGAAAAGTATTAAAAGTACTAAAGATTGCCAAATATCATGACCTAATACCAAGTATATATGATACATTCATCATCTAAGAAATTGCAATACTTTTTTTAATTAATAGGTTTCCGAAATGCATTCTGCCCATTGAGCGATTCGTTTATACTTATTGATTTAATCATTTACGTTCATACCGCTCTACGGCCTGTTGCACACAGAACACGTCAACGCGTTACATATGGGACAAAAATATTATATAATTTAAGATTTAAATTTGAGTCAATTAAACTCTCAAAGAGATTAGAATAAAATTGGATATTGAGCTGTTTCTTGCTACACGAAATGCGTTAATGCATTCTATGTATAACTGCAGTCTCACGAACAAAGAGTTCTGAAGCTCATTAAAAAATTTGTTGCATCCTTATTGTCGATGAGTGTACAATGCGCAGTATTAATTTGCTGAGTAATAGTAGTTGCTTGATTTATCGACATTGAATCGGTAACGCACATAGCGCGAGCGCATTTGAAAAAAGAAGAGCCTCTGACTAAGGACATGTCCAGATTCCCACTCGAGTGCTCTCCGGGTGTCATGTTATCCTTGTTTAACATTTGGTAAATAATAAAGATAGAAGGATACCTGGGTGGCACTCGGGTGGGAATCTGAACATAGCCTAACAGAATGAATGAAATGAATGAATACATGAATTTAATTCATGCATTTTAAAAAAAGATATATCATTTTATACATCAAGAAAAAAACGCAATAAATTTCCACACAGTTTGTCAATGACTCTTCCTTAAAGTTCCTAGGAACCACTCGACCGTGGCGGGTACGTTTCGGATCGGGTGCTCTCAATTGTATATTTTTTGAAAAGTGGTACCGACTTTGACCGTGCCTTGTATTTTTTTTTCGATATTGTTATTTGTCTCGCGAATCTGGGCAACCTGTTTGTCCTGACGCACGTGAGGCTTGACGATGTCGTAAACTCGGACGCCCTGTGTCCATCCTCATTGTTTACAAGTCGTCACATTTTATACTGGCCGTATCGTTGGCGTTCGCCGACGAGTGCCGTTATATTAGGAAGAAGACTCTTCCCTGATTCAAGCGCGAGGGCGCTTTGAGCGTTACCAACTCAGCGTCCATAAGTCAAGTCATGATGACCCAGCGAATTAATACTACACACAGTACAAAGCCCGACAAAATAGGCCGGTATTCATAGTCGATTCTTATTTCAAAACCATCATAAGCAATGTCTTAAGACGCTAATGCAGTGGTCTGATTAGTTTGTGAGACCTCACGACTGAACTTAAGACGGTTAAATATAAGATCTGACTATGAATACTATAGTCAGTTCTTATATTCAAAACCGTCTTAAGTTCTATTTTGAGGTGTCATGAATCAATCAGACAGCTGTATTAGCATCTTAAGACATTACTTAGGACGATCTTAAAATAAGAACCGAACGGGCCATAGACCTCGCGCGCGCGCACAGAGATAGAGAGAGAGACATATATATGTATATGTATGCGAGAGTATATATAAACATTTAAAAAAATATTCAAAATGCTTAACTTGATACAAATTTTTCAATTGATAACTTGCATAATTATTATAATTAATAGTAATTTTTTTATCTAAGAATGTAGTTTATATTTGATACGATTGATACCTGAATGTCCTTATGCTCCGCTAATAGTGCTAATAGGAAACTTAAACCTGTCGCTGTAGTATCATGGCCCTAAAATTATATTACACATATCTCAATATCGAATGATGTGTGAAAAATCAAGAGAAATTACATATGCATACCGCAAACGTAAAAGTATCGACTTCCTCCCTAATATCTGATTCAGTCATAAGGCCTTCGCGAGATGCCGCTATTAGGAGATCCAACATGGCAAGTCGCTTTCTTTGTGCTAAAATAAAATGCAGAAACATATTAGTACTTTATAGCTTAATAATTTTTGGGTTTTTTATCATAACATTATATTAGAAAAAGAAATTGTATTTAAATTTTTACAGAATTAATAATACTGGATTAAAAGAAATAGGTTTTAATCGCATTACGTACTTCCAATTTTTTCGGCGACAAATTCTGCTGATATATCATTACTAAGGTTTTTCAAGTTTCGTCCATTAGTCTGTTCATGGTAAAGTTTTCGTCCAGCAATAATCTACATGAATACAATATTAATGCTCCTTTAGGCAAATAAGAAAGTATTATCATTGTTTTATAAACATTAATAAATTAATCAAATAAATAATAAAACGCTAAATAACCCAAGGTTATATTTAGTTGAGAATGTTTAATAATATACACGTTCATGTGAAAAATATGAGACAGTGTATTAATTTCCCTGAAAATGAGCGAGTTTATATATATATATATATATAGCTATGTAAATTCTTAAATATATTCTCCAGATCTTCAAGTTATACGTTAAACTCGGCTAACTTTGCAGTACTTTTATTACAATAAGCAGCAACCAAAATTAATAATTTATTCTATAATATCTTTTGCGTTCATGAGACATTTTTTTTTCTGAAAATGTAAAATCATTCAAGAATTGTTTCAGTTATATAAAAGTAAACCAGATAATTAATAATTACATATGTTTTATTATTTGACTATGTTCTATAGGTTTAGAAACTTGATTTTTGAATTGAGGAATTTTATTTTCGATAATAATTATAAGATAGTACAATACATTTTGCATGGCTCTAGTAGCCCAAAACAATTAAATTGAAATTCAATTTTTTTAATATAAGAGATGATTGTATAAAGAATGTTTTCACTATAAGAACATTTTTTTCCCAAGAAATTGCACATATGCTCTTTTCTTAATAATATTGGTTCACGAAAAGTATTATTTATGGTCAAGGCACCCTTCCAAGATCTACCTTCGATTATACGTAGCTTTTACTTGATTTATTTATACCTTACATTTTGATCTACTTACTTATGGTGGTCTATAGTTCCAATTATTATTATTAATAAATTATTTCGTGCAAGAGATGTTTACGTACAGACATAGAAAATTTCTTGTCGTTTCTCAGAATAGATGATGCAGATGCATTCGTATTATGTAGCATTTTATTAATAGATACATACTTGTTCAGTAAACGCATGTAATATTTCCAAATTCCTTGTTTGCTGTTTGCCCTTTGATGTCAATGAGAATATCCAATCAGGGAACAGCAATGGCCTTGATAATCTATACCACAGTTACTGAATTACAGGTAGCCACACTATTTTAAGAAAATATTATTTTTTGCGAAAGTTTTCTTTTATTTCTCTATAAACTCTCAGGAAATTAGAAATATTTCAATATTATAAAAAAAGAATTTTAACATTAACAAAATTGTGATAAAGAGGTGTATAAGGCTGTACGTTACACGTATATAATGCTTTTTAACTATATAATCTTTAATAAAAATTGCATTTAGTAAATTGTATGTCATTTTGTACTTGTTTTTTCAGTAGAGATTACAAGGGGCATCATAAAAAATTAAAAGATCGTTAAATAACATTTAAGTAATCAATTTAACTGATCATCAATATAAACGTAATTTAATATAAGATGTAAATTACGAACAACAATTATCACTTATTATTTATAATATATTTTTCAATTTATCGTAAAAATGTGGGACAAAGTGTAAATATATCTTATACCTATAAATTACCTATACGTAATAATTTCGGTTATTCGGAAAATCGCTTCTCGGTACTGTTGTTGGAAACTCCCGTGGTCCCGTAAAGAAGTGCCCATGGCGGTTTCTGCAAATGGATTTATAATAATATATCACGATCGATATATTTATATATACTTCAATAATACATATGGATGTAAAATGACGCATTTATCAATATTGTGTTGTATCGATATTTTGGATAAAATGTTGCATTTGTTTTACATTATTCCTAAAGCTTTATATGTAAACTTAAGAATATGATACAGTACCACATATTGCATTTAAAGTATATTCACTAACAAACGATACGACATCATTTACAACTGTATCTTTTGAATTTTTCAAGAACTTTGTCATATTTTCGCCTTCCTGAATCAAAACGTCGACGAACTGTTGCAATATATCTAAATGAAATGTGGTAGTTAATATCTTTCGCCGTGAATGCCACTTGATGGCTAAAACATAAATAAAACGTGTAATATACAATAATTATGACATAGTTTTTAATTTAATTTTAAATTGATAATTTTACATTGCAAAATTTATTTCTATTATGTGCATTTAAACGTTTTAAAATACATAATTACATATATATACTAATGAACAAAGAAGTATCCTTATTTATTTTATAAAGAAATAATACTACAAATACATTAATTTATAATAAGTGTAATGTTAAAATTATTTCAACGTCCTTATTTTTTTTTTATACAATGAAAGTTTAGCAGTAACAAGTTAACAGTAGATAAAATATATATTCATATTAATATGCTTATACCTTTACTAGTGATAAGACCAGAACCAATCCAAGGTTTAAAAAAATCATACAATATACTCTTTTCGAGGTGTTTCGTGTTGCTTAATATTGTCTGAAATTACGGACAGTAATAAGTTTGAAATAGCATTTAACTTAGACGCAACGCAGATAATCAGTTGCTTTCCAAAGAGTTCAAATATTTACTTATCTTTAATAAATTTGCCAAAATAGACACAAATTTTTACAATATAAATAATTAAATTATCTTATTCAATGTAACTGCATTAATAATAAAAGAAGAATAAAATTTTTCATAGTTCGATATTTACTTGTATATCATCCGGATGACAGATAATTACAGCAGATACAAACAATGCCTGAAATCTAAAAATAGGATAATATTGGTTGAAAATGCCAACTATAGTGTTCCATTGTTTTTCTGAAAAATGTAAATATGTAAGTACTATGTAAATTTACCATATTAAAATAAATATTGTTTCACAGAAGGAATTGCAAATTTAAATAATTCTTAAAATTATTATTGTAACATGCAATAACTTATATGTCTCAGAGAAGAGTATTCGCATATATGCTTGCATTAGCGAACATTAATTTACATGTGAGCATATAAAAAAACGTACCTCGTGAACCCAATAATAGAAATGCGTTTCCCAAAATCGGGTAACCTGGTGGTCCTGGTATAAGACTAATAAGTCGCCTATTTTTTCCGTAATACACATAATAATTGCACACAAATATAGTAAGTATAAATATAGTAAGTATAAATAATAGCAATGTAGCAATAAGCATAGCGTTTGATCAAATAATTATCCAGTTTACATAATTTTGTTTATCTCCTTCCTTCTCTCTTTCTCGCCTCTTTGTTTTTCTAATTTTGAAATTACATAAAACACTAAATGCATACGCATAACATACTTAAAAAATACCTAAAAATTTGATATCGTACAAGTTTTTAATCTATTTTTGTTGATCTGTTTTGTTTTTAATTATTTTAAGCTTATTATACTATATTACTGCAAACTTTTGTTACTGAAGAATGTGGCACTCTTTAAACCAACGCTTGCTGATTGAATACTGTTAAACATGACAGTACATCCGTTTTTAAGTTTTTCTGCTTATTCGTTTAAACCATTCAATGTTAACAACAATAACATTTATTCACTATTATTAAAAATTTTTTATTAATTCTTTTTATTAATTTTTTATTAATTCTGTAATAACTAAAAGGAATAAAAATAGAGCATATACCACACGCCGGATAACAATAGCGAAATTACCATGTTTTTACAAAATAAATCTACATAGACGTTTCGGTCATTAATGTGACCATCTTCAGTATAAAACAATAACCCTTATAATATGTACTACGGAAAACATTTTTCGCAAGTTGTCAAATAATATAATTTCGTTAAAATATAATTATGTCATTAGTTCACATAAATACAATTAAGAAGTTGATTTGAATACTATGATAGATCCAACAATGTTAAACATCTAAATTTTCCTTTTGTCGTCCTTTTATTCGTTATGTTAATGTGATAGAAAAAGGAAATGGATTCGTCAATATTTTGAGAGCACAAGTTTCCAAACTAAAATGGTTTTCAATTAATTTTTAATTACTTTGTAATATGAGAAAAAGTTTAATAATTACCTGTGTCTCAAAAAATTTTGTTTAACAATATCCATGTGAGTGGTCTTAGTTTTAATCGTGGTTGAGGATGTAAGAACGATTTGAACTAATTCGTTGTGAAAGTTTGTTAGATACTGGTAACCTCTTTAATCTTGATATGGAAATATTTTTAGGAGTGGGAATCAACAATAGATTGATCCAGAGGATAACCATTATTTGTCATAATATTAATTAATTCTTGGATATTTTTGATATGGAATTTTAGATGTGAAAGAAGAAGAATGCGATTTAATGATGTTATTACGCTCTTTTTATGGCATAATGGATGATTGGAATGAAAATTGCATCAAATTGAATGCAACCATATAATGAATTGGAATAATGTTCAAATTTTAGATACTGAACCATCAATTCTAAAAAGATTAATTTCAGAAACGATTTACATAAAAAAACAACCAAATAGTTTAAATTTACAGAGCAACACAGAAAAATTCCCAGAGAGATATTTAACGACAATTTTAAATCATCCCCACCAATCTATTGTTGATTCCCACTCCTAAAAATATTTCCATATCAAGATTAAAGAGGTTAAAACAAACTTTCACAACGAATTAGTTCAAATCGTTCTTATATTCTCAACCACGATTAAAACCACTCACATGGATATTGTTAAACAAAATTTTTTGAGACACAGGTAATTATTAAACTTTTTCTCATTACAAAGTAATTAAAAATTAATTGAAAACCATTTTAGTTTGGAAACTTGTGCTCTCAAAATATTGACGAATCCATTTGCTTTTTCTATCACATTAACATAACGAATAAAAGGACGACAAAAGGAAAATTTAAATGTTTAACATTGTTGGATCTAGTATTTGAATCAACTTCTTAATTGTATTTATGCGAACTAATGACATAATTATATTTTAACGAAATTATATTATTTGACAATTTGCGAAAGATGTTTTCCGTAGTACATATTATTAAGGGTTATTGTTTTATACTGAAGATGATCACATTAATGACCAAAACGTCTATGTAGATTTATTTTGTAAAAACATGATAATTTCGCTATTGTTGTCCGGCGTGTGGTATATGCTCTATTTTTATTCCTTTTATTTTTTAACTTGACCACTTGATCTTTAAACTATCTGTAATAACTACTTATAAGCAACATCACATAAGCAAGAACGTTCTTGGCGATTATGAATAATATAATTTTTTATATGATTTGCAAAGCAAATGTTAGAGTAAATAAAAACTTTAATGTGGTTCGTATGATATGCATTATCAGGAGACGCAGTAGTGTCTCCGGCCATGATCAAAAACTGAAGGACACAAGTCTCTTATCTTTAGCCATCAAAGTTCATTTTTGGGAGGTAGATAACTATTAAAATATTCATTACAGTACCTCAAGTGATAGAATAATTAACGATCAAAAATGCAAAATTATGTATACGAATTCATGACATCATACACATAATTTCATGTTCAATCGATAATTTTACATTATTTTGTACTGAGGAGGACCTTAACCATAGGTCGAAGCGTATACATTTTATTTACATATATCTAATAAATTGTAAGAAAAGTGCACTCCAAGAACTTGTATCGACTCAAATTGGTATCTTGTTTTATTTTTGTGATTTATTCAACTGAGCCTTTTGATTATCTTATATTTGGTACACATTGACAGTTGTCGATATCGTTAACTCTTTCAAACATAGTGGTAGGTACGAAAAACATCTCACTGTTTTTATTCAGTGCTTGAATATGCATGAGAGATGTTATTTCTACTACCTCCAAATCAAGAAATTACTATCAAGAAACAAAAAGATTTACATAGTAGAAATCTTCCTCCTTATAAAGTACGTAAAATGTATTTTCATTTTTATTATTATATCATATAATTCTATATTTCAAATAATAAAAATTAATTTGTCATGTTTTATAAAAAAAATAATTTCCGTATAAGACATTTTTTGTTATAAAATCCTGTGTTTTAAAAAGTTAATTTAAATGATAGAGACATATCGTAAAAATACAAGATGAAACGTTCCCGCAGATGTACAGCAGAAGAATGAATTTAGACCCAAATTTAAATGCGCAACATTTCACTTTGCTTATTACACCATGGATAAAGATATATTCCTTAACAAATAATCATTGGTGCATTGAACACGTTTTATTCTGTTAACCACTGTACTTATATGAATAATAATATATAATACATTTGTGAAATGTGTATACAGTAATTATAAAAGTATTTATTAAATTAGCAAAGTACTAGGTATAAATATGTAATTTTAAGTTCTAGATATCTAATTGTATATCTTCACTACATGAGCTACGAGTTATTTCTCAATACGTATAATAATTAATATGTTATATTTATATACATATTTTACTATTTTTCTAACGTTCACCTTTCACTACATTCATTAAACCTTATATATTTTATTCAAAATATTGCATTAATTTTGAAAACGAGGAACAAATTTTATACGAAGTGGATGACTCAAGCGAAGAATTAAACCAAGCTGTAGAGGAAGATTCTTTAAGTAATCAACAGGCTCCAAGTAAAAATTATGTACCAAAGAAGCTATCATTGTTTTCATTTCTAACATAGCAAATCGTTGACCTAGAATTTCATATGTTCTTTAAACTAAATATATAAGAGAAAATAAAAATATACGAAACTACTGCTTACCGATGCAATTACGTGGTCCAGCACTGAATGTTATATATGAGTAAGGATGACGATTTCGGTTCTTCTCAGGCAAAAATCTATTTGGATGAAATACTTCTGGATTTGGCCAGAAATTGGGGTTTCTATTGACTCCATAAATATTAATTTGTAAAATTGTCCCAACAGGAACTAAATATGTTTCTGCAAAGCATAATGTAAAATAATATAAAGAATAATATTTTAATAGTATGTATTATAAATAATAATTTTAAGTTGCATTAAAATTTCAAAATTAAATATTTTTCTAATATAAAACGAAAATAGATGCTTATATTGTTTTATATAGCTTCATATAGGTACGATATTATGTAATAACTATTTAAAATTGCTAAATAATCAAAATGCATACTTTCCGAGATATTAGACCGTTTTCCAGATTTTTGGTATATCTTTAAATGATCATTACTCGGCTTCTAAGGCCCAATGGAGCGAACGGCTTTAAGGTGTTCATTTGATAGGCTCCTCTAACATCGCTGCAAGTTTGATCAAAATCGGTGAAGAGCAGAGCGTAACCTCTCCTCAGTGTTTGAGTCGAATTAGGCATTGTCAATACCACTTGGATTTATTCAAACGAGTCTTAATAATATTATTTTATATTTCTTTATATGTTAAATAAATAGAGATATAAAATGTGATATTTAATTTAAGTTGTTTATTACTTTCTCTTTTCCTGTTTCTCCACTAAAAAAAAAAACTTTTTTACCTAAAAAGTATCTAAATTTTCAGGTACTTTTTATTTATATCTGTACCTATACCTAGGTAATTGTAAAAAAATGTATCTATAACTATATCTAAATACTTTTGCCATACAATACCTATATCTATATCTAGATACCTTTCAAACGGTATCTGTTCCAACACTGCCTATAAGTTACCTATACGTAATAATTTCGGTTATTCGGAAAATCGCTTCTCGGTACTGTTGTTGGAAACTCCCGTTGTTCCGTAAAGAAGTGCCCATGGCGGTTTTTGCAAATGGATTTATAATAATATATCACGATATATTTGTACGTACTTCAATAATACATATGGATGTAAAATGACGCATTTATCAATATTGTGTTATATCGATATTTTGGATAAAATGTTGCATTTGTTTTACATTATTCCTAAAGCTTTATATGTAAACTTAAGAATATGATACAGTACCACATATTGCATTCAGAGTATATTCACTAACAAACGATAAGACATCATTTACAACTGTATCTTTTGAATTTTTCAAAATCTTTGTCATATTTTCGCCTTCCTGTACGAAAACGTCAACAAACTGTTGCAATATATTGAAATGAAATGTTGGAGTTAATGTCTTTCGCTGTGAATACCATTTGACGGCTAAAACATAAAATACACGGAGTGATGGCTAAAACGTAATAAAACGTTCAATATATATATGTATATAATATAATTATATATTATATTATATATAATTATATTATATATATATTAACATACCTTGTATATATAGTAACATACCTTATTTACATATAGTGACGTACCATTTAATTTAACTTTTAAAATTTATTTTTATTATGTGGATTTAAACATTTTAAATTACATAATAAAATGTTTACTAAAGAAATATCCTTATTTATTTTATAAAGAAATAATACTACAGATATTTTAATTTATAATAAATGTAATATTAAAATTATTTCTATATACAGGTTTGTTATATTTTTTACACAATGGAAGTTTGGAAGCAACAAAAATGTTATAAACAGTAGATAAGATATATTTGTATTAATATGGTTACCTTTACTAGTGGCAAGACCAGAACCGATCCAAGGTCGTAAAAAATCATATAGTTTGCTCTTTTCGAGGTGTTTCATATTGCTTAATATTGTCTGAAATTACAAATAATATTAATTATTAAACAGCATTTAACTCAGATGCAATGCAGATAAACAATCGCTTTCCAAAGAGTTTCAAATATTCACTTATCTTTAATAAATTTACCAAAATAAACACAAACTTTTATAATATAAATAATAATAAGATTATCTTATTTAACATAATTTTATTAATAATTGAAGAAAAATAAATTTTTTTTTCATAATTTGGAATTATATTAACCTCTACATCATCTGGATGACTGATCATTATAACAGGATAATAAGATGCCCATAATTTATAAATAGGATGATATCGGTTGGTAAGTTCAATTAAAATATCCCATTGTTCTTCTAAAAAATGTAAGTATTATAAAAATTTACATGATTCTAATAAACATAGACATACAATTGATTTTATTATTACTTTAATGTATTTTACCACCTATCATATAATATTTATATTCGATAATTAAATATTATTGCAAGTTGGAAAAAAATGTAAAGAAGAAATTGCAAATTTTAGTAATTCTTAAAAATTGTTATAATGTTATAACTTGCAATAATTTACATGTCTGAGAGAAGAATGTTTGCACATATTAAATTTGCATATATGCATGCATTGACGAATATTATAATTTACGTGAGTATATAAAAAATTTTAACTTACTTCGTGAACCCAATATTTCAAATGCGTTTCCAACAATCGGATAACCTGGTGGTCCTGGTATAAGATTAATAAGTCGCCCTTTTTTTCCGTAATGCATATAAGAATTAAACACAAATATAATAAATATAATTAATAGCATTACAGCAATAAGCATCGTGTTTGCTCAAATAATTAGCCAATTTATATAATTTTGTTTCGTTCTCTTTTTCTTCTTTCTTTCTCTATTCTTGTCTCGTCTGTTTACTCTTTTAATTTTGAAATCACATGAAACACTAATAGTATACGCATAACATACATGAAAATTTGATACTAGCCTTCAATTGAATTTTGTTAACCCTGATTTTCTTTTCTGATTATTATACATTTAATATATTACTGCAAACTTTTTTATTTCTAAAAAGTGTGCCACAATATTCCAAAGCTTTCTGGTTAAAAGCAGCCATATGACTGTACGTCCGTTTTTACAATTTCCTACTTGTTAGTTCAAACAAATATAATTTTTCACATGATTTGCAAAACTAATATCAGAATAAAAAACATTAATATTTTGAACATAATATGCTTTATAATTACGTAAAAACGTATAACAATTTATCAATCTTCTCACCTTTTTTATTTCTTCTCTCTATTTTGCAAAACCGATTTAAACTTTATGTAATATCATATGTTTTATATATTACAGTCAAATATTTTAATATTATATTATTAATATTAGAAAATAAACTTATACGATAAATTGCATAAGCCGCGAATTCAAAATTACGTATTGGTGCTATATATCATAAATAATTTGCTATTTAAACATCAACTTTATCTACCTCATACTTTTCTTGACGTTGGAAATTAATTGTCAAAATTTTTTAAAATATTATGGCATTAAAGTTTTTAAAATTATATATATATAAGTTTTTATTTATATACTTCATAAAAGTTACTTAATTTGTATTTTAAGCAGTAGTTTTTGAAACATGTATGTGCGTTACATAATGATGATGACTCCTTTTATCTCCTTTATGTGAAGCATAGGACATCTACGAGTCTCCTCCATCTTACTCTATTTTGGACAATCATTTTTATTTCTGCCCAGCTTTTTCCAATAGATTTGATTTCATTATATCTATGCGCGTTACATAATACGTTTAGATAATTATGTGCCGTGAGTGAGATAGATTGACGAGCGTGCACGTCAACAATGATGATGCAGAAAAGATTCGTGTTTTTTAGACGCACGGATTTATTTATAAAATAGTACACTTTATAAAATACTACACGTATGTATGTAAGGAAAATACTTTTTGTTAATGACATCGGGGGATTTAATATGTATGTGTAATTGGATTAATGTATGTAATTTATAAGGGGTTTGTCAAAGATTATGTTGCGGCTGATGATGACTAAGTAAAGTCGAAACGTTCTGCGTAGAATTATTTTGTAAAGATTTAAAAATTACAATTATTTAATACTAATTATTAGCTCGTTTTAAATAAATATTGACCTGGTATGCTAATGTAAGGAAATACTACACGCTTGTATTGAAACATAAGAATTAATAATAGAAAGCAATAGTTGGTCAGATATTGTCTTTATTCATTTGTGCAATGTATAATAGCAAAGTAACATATACTTCTGTCCATATTATTTTCAAGTGTTACATATGATTTCGCAGTCTATTAAATAATGACTATACATTATACTGTGTGTGATATCGTAATATTGATTGTAAATTATTATGTTAACAAATAAGTGTCAAAAATAGAGAAAAAATTTTAAATTATAAAAATGTTATCTTTCTATAATATTTAGTGTTAACTATATTATCTTATTATAACGCTAATAAATATATACTATAATATTTTATATATTAGATCACAATTCACAAATAACCACTGATCGTTCATCCAACGTTTTATTTTGCTGAAAACGCAACCTTAACATATATATAACATAAATCATAATATGTTCAAAATATATAAAGTAATTGTGAAGAGGTAACTATTAAATGAATTAAGTACAAAGATATAACTGACTTATAGTTATAGAAAAACGTAACATCTAATTGTGTATAACTTTATTACAACAATAATTGTTCAAAAAAACAAGATAATAATTATTTACTCTCCAAAATGTGTATGCTTCTCCGACGTTCAGAAAGATCATTATTTGATTCAAATTCTTGCATTAATTTTGCAGATAGGGATAAATCTTATACGAAGTGGATGAGTCAAGCGAAGAATAAAATCAAGCTGTAGAGGGAGATTCTTTAAGTAATCAACAGGCTCCAAGTAAAAATTATGTACCAAAGAAACTATCATTGCTTTCAGTTCTAACATAGCAAATCGTTGACCTAAAATTTATTATATTATAAACTAATCATATAAGACAATATAAAAATATATAAACTATTGCTTACCGATACAATTACGTGGTCCAGCACCGAATGTTATATACGAGTAAGGATGACGATTTCGATCCCTCTCAGGCAAAAATCTGTCAGGATCAAATACTTCTGGATTTGGCCAGAAATTGGGATCTCTATTAACTCCATAAATATGGATTAGTATATTTATCCCAGCAGGAACTACATATGATTCTGCAAAGCATAATGTAAAATATGATAAAGAATAATATTTAAATATATAGTATGTATTATAAATAATAATTATAAGTCGCATTAAAATTAAATATTTATCTAATATAAGACGGTAATGAATGCTTATACTATAGCTTATATAACATAATATATAAAATTATATTATGTTATAGTAACAGTCGTTACGTTATAAGTATGTCAAAACACTCCAGTCAGCATATCTACTTCTAGAGGTTGGAACGGAAATAAGAGCGGAAACATGTTGATGACGTAATGGAAATAAAGATTTGAGCACAAGAATTATAATAGTTATTTAGACTTAAATACAGCACAAGCTTGAGTGTATATGCCGTGCGACTATAACTTATTTCTGAGTAAGTGTTATGACAATTCTTGTGCTCAAACTCTTACTAGGAGCGTTTCGATGCATAGATCAGCCATATCGGTATTATACAGGGTGTCATTAACCGATAAAATTACCTATCTAGAACAGATAGAAACCTATCAATTGCAGCGTTTAAAGAGTTAAATAATCCGCCACTCAAATTACATTTTTAAATACAGTATCGTATAATCTGAGTTCTAATGTAACATTACTACTTGAGATTTTGACTAATACTTTTCAAAATAAGCAAAATCTTGGTAATACGTACGTAGTTTTACGTCTTCTCCGGAAGTACGTATTATAAAAGGTACGCTGGGATACAAACGTAACGCTTCTTTTATACATCTTTCTAAATATGGCAGTTGTTGCAACAATTTCATAGAAATTTTCTCGTCATTCTCTTGCATAGCGGAATCAATTTCATTCCTGACACGTTCCTGCATCATTAACATTAACTTGAAATACGTTTCTTGTTATTTTAATCATTTTATGTATTGGTACAAGTAAATTTCTTGAAATTTCCAAAATATTTATTTAAAAAATATGTACATTAATTGTTTCGATATTACATATACAATATATGTCTCTTGATTAATTTATATGAAATATATGTGCACGTACTTATACAATCTTTGTATATCTGCTATATACTAATAAATAAAAAGCAATCAGTACATTATACATATATGTATAACATACAATTGTGTCTGATAATTATTGACACAACTCTCTTATATGTAAGTAAACCGGACTAAACCGAGTCGAAAAATCCTGTACCATTTTGCAAATTTGACGATAGTTAACAAATTATACATTAAACTGAATCTATGTAACGCCTTATCTATATAGTACGTAGAATGCAAGTTGCATGTCACAATTGAAAAGTATTTCAGATGATGAAGGTCGCAATCTGCAGCACACAAAGCTACGCGAAAGTTAAAGCTCAGTCAATTTTTTGTGTTCTGCGTTCTGCGTGTTATGTAATTCTGACTGTAATAAAGATTGCCGAATAGCATGACCTAACATCAAGTATGTACACTCCTGTACTAAAAAATTACAATACCTTTTTTAATGAGTTTCGGAAATGCAGTTTGCCCATTAAGCGATTGGTTTATACTTATTAATTTAACTATTTACGTTCAACCGCTCTGTTGCACACAGAACACATCAGCGCGATACACATGGGAAAAAAAACGTGATTTAAAATTTAAATTTGAGTACATTAGATTCTTAAAGAGATTAGAATCAAATTGGATATTGCGCCGTTTCTTGCTACGTGAAACGCGTTCATGCGTTCAATATATAACAATCTTACGAACAGAGTTCTAAAGCTCATTGAAAAATTTGTTGCAATCTTTAGCCTATGAGTGTACAAAGCGCAACGAAATAGAACGCTCACACACACACACACACACACACACACACAAGAGAGAGGCACGCGCATACAAACAGAGAAAGAGAGAGATCATATATGTATATGTATTTCTTTATATATATATGTATAGTATATATGTATATATATACATATATACCAGGTGGGACAATAACATTGTCCACCTTGAATATCTCCGCCATTTTTAGAGATATGAAAATATTGTAATTACAAAAGTTGTACGATATCAAGAGGACCATAATATATGCTGGTTATAATTTTTTTAGGTGGAAGCGCTTCGGAGATTTCAAGGTGGACAAAGTTATTGCCCCACCCGGTATATGTGTGAGTATATATATTATATATATACGAGTATATATATATAAACTTAAAAAGATATTTAAAATGTTTAATTAGTTTCAATTTTTGAATTAATATAACTTTCAGAATTATTATAATTAATAGTAATTTCCTTATGTAAGAATGCAGTTTATATTTGACGATTGATACCTGAATATCCTTATGCTCCGCTAATAGTGCTAATAGGAAACTTAGACTTATCCCTGTAGTATCTTGGCCCTAAAACCATATTACACATATCGCAGTATCAAATGATGTGTGAAAAATCAAGAGAAATTACAAATGCATACCGCAAACATAAAAGTATCGACTTCCTCTCTAATATCTGAATCAGTCATAAGACCTTCGCGAGATGCCGCTATTAGGAGATCCAACATGGCAAGTCGCTTTCTTTGTGCTAAAATAAAATACACAAGCATATTAGTACTTTATAGCATAAGAGTCTGTGTTTTTTATCATAACATTATATTAGAAATAGAAACTATATTTAAATTTCAATAGAATTAATAATATTAGATCAAAAAAAATATGTTTTGATTGCATTACGTACTTCCAATTTTATCAGCAACAAATTCTGCTGATACATCATTACTAAGGTTTTTCAAGTATCGTCCATTAGTGCGTTCATGATAACGTTTTCGTCCAGCAATAATCTACATGAACACAATATTAATGCTCCTCTGACTAATAAGGAAGAATTAGCATTCTGTTATAAACATTAATGAATTAATCAAATAAATGAAACGCTAAATAACTCGAAGCTAGATTTAGTTGAGAATGCCTTATGTACACGTTCATGAAAAATATGAAACAGTGTATTAATTTCCTTAATAATGAGTGAGTATAGCAATGTAAATTTTTAAATAAATTCTTCAGTTCTTCGAATTACACGTTGAACGTAGGTAACTTTGCAGTACTTTTACAATAAACAGCAACCAAATTAACATTTAATTCTATAATACCTTTTGCGTTCATAAGAAATTTCTTTTCTCTGAAAAGATGAAATCATGCAAGAATTTTTTCAGTTTAAAAGTAAACCATGTAATTAATAATTACGTATGTTTTATTATGTGACTATGTTCTGAAGATTTAATTAAATTTGATTTTTGAATTGCGAACAACACTACAAATGATCTAATAAAAATGTCAAAATGTTTTATTCTCAATAATAATTATAAGATAGCAAAATAAATTTAGCGTGGCTCTACTAGACCAAAATAATTTAGTTAAATTTTGATTTTTTTATTATTGTAAGAGAGGATTGAATAAAGAACGTTTTTTCTGTAAGGAAATTTTCTCTCTCAAGAAATTGCTCTTATGCTCTTTTCTTAATAATATTGTTTCACGAAAAGTACTGTTTATGGTCCAGGCACTCTTCCAAGATCTAGCTTCGATTATACTCACTTCATTTACTGGTTTACTCTTACCATCTTTAAATGATTTACTTGTACCTTACACTTTGATCTACTTACATACTTATGGTGATCTATAGTTTCACTTATATATTATTATTAATAAATTATTTTGCGCAAAAGATGTTTATATATAGTTATAGAAAACTTCTCGTAGTTTCTTAGAATAGATGATACAGATGCACTCGTATTATGCAGTATTTTTTAAATAGAAACATACTTGTTCAGTAAACCCATGTAATATCTCCAAATTCCTTTTTTGCTGTTTGCCTTTTGATGTCAATGAAAATATCCAATCAGAGTACAGCCATGGCCTTGATATTCTAAACCATAGTTACTGAATTACAGGTAGGCACACTATTTTAAGAAATTATTTTTTGCGAAAGTTTTCTTTTATTTCTCTATAAACTCTCAGGAAATTAGAAATGTTTCAATATTATAAAAAAGAATTTTAACATTATCAAAATTGTGATAAAGAGGTTTATAAGGCTGTATATGTTATACGTATATATTACTTTTTAACTATATAATCTTAAATAAAAATTGCATTTAGTAAATTGTATGTTATTTTGTACTTGATTTTTCAGTAGAGGTTACAAGGGGCATAAAAAAAAATTAAATTCTTCTATCAACATAGAAAAGGCCTTCTATGTGAGTTTGTTATGTTTAGTTGTTTTTCTTTGAAGTATGTTGGTAACATTTCTGCACTGACAATGAGTGAGTATAGCATTTACTGTAGTCAATGTTAAATTAGCAAATTTGAATTATAATGATGCCAAAAAACGCGATCAATTGCGGATTACGTGCCGTGATTTAGGTTTTGATCATATAAAACGGAAAAGCAACAAATATTTATCATCTACAAATTTCTAGAGAAAAAAATATTCATGTGCAAATAGTTTGATGATAGCAGTCATTTATTAACGCTGTCGCACGAAAGTGTATGCTTCGAAGCCATAAATCGTGTACATTAATGTTTTAGGTTATCGATACTCTTTAGATTTTGTAAGAATAATTTTTATCCGTTTTCTGTGCTAGAAAACATTTGAGTAACAAAAATTTTTACAGCAATGATAAAATCAAGGCTAAATTGTCTGGAAAAGTCTAAAATTCCACCCATCCAAGGACTCATTTTTTTATACCACTAAAATAGAAAAACTAGTGTCACGTTCAATTATAATACTTAAAACTTATTGATACCTACGTTAAAAAGAAAAAAAGGTTTTATAATCGTTTTTTATTTTTCATTTTCTCCTACAATAGGAAACCTTATTTTCGAAATGCCCTTCTTAATATTTGAAGATCGTTAAATAACCTTTAAGTAAACAATTTAACTGATCATCAATATAAATAAAATTTAATATGATTAAGGGGGAAAGCCACTGAGAAATTTTCAAAAAAAAAAATCGAAAAAATTTTTTTTATTTTAAATGATACTTTAAAGTCTTTAGAATAAGATTCAATTGGTCTTATACGTGAAAACATTTTTTTTAATGGTTTTATAGCTGATTTTTTGAAGCAAGGCGTAACGCCATCTAAGCGCTCAATCGTTGCTTAGGTGGCTTTACGCAGAACAATAATGAAAGTTTTAATTCAACAAAACATCGATATGGAAGAACAGTTCGTATGGTACAGGCATCGCAGAGTAAAAGTAGATAAAAAATTTCTATAGTTAAATATGAAATAATGTTGTTCAAAACTTTAAACGCGTTTTTCTCGAAACCATGTTTTTCTAATTGGCTTGCAGCATAACTTTGACAAATTTTATCCGATCAACTTGAAATTTTTACAATAGCTGCTAAACTAAATTCTCTAGAGAAGTACACGCGATTTTTTCGATCGGTTAAAAACTTTTTTTGTTACTAATATTTTTTTATTGAATTTTTTGAGTAAAAATGAAATTTTGTATTTACATGTTCACCATTTCTACAAAAATCAATATTTTAAAATATACGTGTGTACTTCTCTAGCAAATTTAATGTAGATTATGAAAAAATTTTGCTTTTTGTCCTTAGTGAAAGTATACGGCACATCTGCTGCAAGCCCCGGAGGCCTATGAGAAAAACGCAGTCTCATTTGTAGAGCTCCAGCGCCACCATCTTGACGCAAAAAAATAAAATAAAAATAAAATAAAATACTTTTAAATATGTACAATAAAGGCCTTCAAACCGATTTTCTATTTACTTTATTATTTAACTATAAAAAAATCCCAAAGTTACCCTATGTTTTCGACCGTTCACAATGGCTTTCCCCCTTAATATAAGGTGTAATTACAAATAACAATTATCTTTTGTTATTATTATTTACTATAATATGATCATAAAATATTTATAAATTTATCGTAAAGATGTGAGACAGATAAGAGAATCAAGATATATATTATATCAATATAAATTACCTATATGTAATAATTTCGGTCATTCGGAAAGTCGCTTCTCGGTACTGTTGCTGGAAATCACCGTGATCTCGTAGAGAAGTGCCCATGGCGGTTTCTGCAAATAGATTTATTATAATGTATCACAATATGTTTATGTATTTTTCAATAATATATATGGATGTAAAATGACACATTTATCAATATAGCGTTGTATCGATATTTTAGATAAAAAATTGCATTTGTTTTATATTATTCCTGAATCATATATGCATGGTCGAAGTGCATATATGTACCATATACTTAAAAATATGATACAGTACCACATATTGCATTCAGGGTATATTCACTAACAAACGATATGACATCATTTACAACTGTATCTTTTGAATTTTTCAAAAACTTTGTCATATTTTCGCCTTCCTGTACGAAAACGTCAACGAACTGTTGCAATATATTGAAATGAAATGTTGGAGTTAATGTCTTTCGCTGTGAATACCATTTGACGGCTAAAACATAAAATACACGGAGTAATATATAATTACGACATACTTTTTAATTTAATTTTAAATTGATTAATTTTACATTGCAAAATTTATTTTTATTATGTCCATTCAATCATTTTCAATTATATAATAAAATATATACAAATGAACAAAGAAATATCCTTATTCATTTTATAAAGGAATAATACTACAAATATTTTTATGTATAATAAATGTAATGTTAAAATTATTTCTATGGGTTTATTTTATTTTTTACACAATGAAAATTTGGAAGCAACAAAAAAGTTAACAGTAGATAAAACATATTTATATCAATATGGTTACCTTTACTAGTGGCAAGACCAGAACCCATCCAAGGGTGAAAAAAATCATATATCAGTTTAGCCTTTTCGAGGTGCTTTGTATTACTTAATATTGTCTGAAATTACAAATAGTATTAAGTGTTTAACTCAGACGCAGATAAACTGTTGCTTCCGAAAGAGTTTCTAATATTTACTTATTTTTAATAAATTTGTCAAAATAGACACAAATTTTTATAATATAAATAATAATAAAATTATCTTTTTCAATATAACTATTATATATTATAATAACAGAAAAATAAATGTTTTTATAATTCGTTACTTGTATATCATCCGGATGACGGATCATTACATTAGCTAAAAAAAATGCCCAAGCTTTAGAAATAGGATAATATTGGTTGGAAACGCTGACTACAGTGTTCCATTGTTTTTCTGAAAAATATAAATATGTATGTACTGTGTAAATTTGCCAGATTCTAATAAACATTGGTCGACATATAATTGGCTTTGTTATTATGTCAAATGTATTTTACCACTTATTACATAACTTTAATTGAGAAATAAATATTATTGCAAGTTGAAAAAGAAAAAAAATGTAAAGAAAGAATTGCAAATTTAAATAATTCTTAAAAATTAATATTATAATATGGAATAATTTATATGTCTCAGAGAAAAATGTTCACATATATGCTTGCATTAGCGAACATTAATTTACGTGAACATACAAAAAACTTTAACTTACCTCGTGAAACCAATAATTGAAATGTGTTTCCAAAAATCGGATAACCTGGTGGTCCTGGTATAAGATTAATAAGTCGCCCATTTTTTCCGTAATGCACATAATAATTGCACACAAATATAGTAAATAAAAATAATAGCAGTATAGCAATAAGCATAGCGTTTGATCAAATAATCAGCTAGTTTATATAATTTTATTTGTCTCTTTTTTCTTCTCTCTTTCTCGCCTCTTTATTTTTCTAATTTTGAAATCACATGAAACACTAAATGCATATGCATAACATACTTAAAAAAATACCTAAAAATTTGTTATCGTACAAGTTTTTAATTGATTTTTGTTAGCCCGTTTTTTTTAAATTATTTTAAGCTTATTATATTACTGCAAACGTTTGTTACTGAAGACAGAGCCACGATAAACCAATGTTTGCTGATTAAATACAAATTTTTTTATTAAATCTTTGTAGTAACTACTTATATAAGCAACATCACGGAACGTTCTTGACGATTATGAATAATATAATTTTTCACATGATTTGTAAAGCAAATGTTAGAGAAAATAAAAACTTTAATATGGTTCGTATAATATGCATTATATATAATATATAAATATATATAATTTGAAAATCTTCTCAACCTTTAAAAATGTTCTCTCTCCGTTTTGTAAAACCGGTTCAAACTTTATATATCATACATTTTATATAATAATTGTTATAATATTATATTAATAATATTAGAATTTACTTACAATAAATTACATCAGTAACGTATTCAAAATTACGTATTCAAAACATGCTATGTATCATAAATAACTTTCTACTTAAATATCAATTTTATCTACCTCATATATGTCCTTTTTACGATGGAATAATTTTAATTGCCAACACTATAGCCAAAATTTGTACAAGTATTATATTATAGCATGAAAATTCTTGAAAAATTAAATAAAAGAGTTTTTATATTTCTTTTTGTAGAAGTTATTTAATTTTTATTTTTAGCATTAGTTTTCGACATGTGTGTATGCATAACATATTATGTTTAGATGATGATCTGTTGCGCGTGCGATAGATTAATGAGAGTGCACGTGAACAATGATGATGCAAAAAAGATCTATATACGTATTATCCTGCAGGGATGGAAGTTACTTTGTAAAAGTAATTAATTACAATCGAGTCTTGAAAACAAGATGTTAATGTTTATTATATTGTGTGAATTTATATACTGCGTATGTAGTGCTCCCCGCGATGCTGATAGATTTTCAGTATTGACGCATACATATTCACTACCGCAGTAATATACTTATTGTTAGTTAAATGGAGAATCAATCTAAGCAATTTTTGATGCCGAGGGGGACTACATACGCAGTATATAAATTCACACACTATAATAAACATTAACATCTTGTTTTTAAGACTCGATTAGGCTGTACACTTGCTACAGATTTTTAAATCATACGAGTTAATTATTATTATCTTTCATTATAATTAATTACAGTTACAGTTTTTCTTTTTCAAAAAGTAATTAATTGCTGTTACAAGTCATTGACTCGGAAAAGCAATTCGTTATAGTTACTGATTACAGTTATAGTTACTGATTACAGTTATAGTTACTGAATTACAGTTATAGTTACTGAAAAATAACTTTATGTTATTAGGTACTAAACTTAATTTCTGCGGTTCACATTTACATGACACTAGTTGTAGGTGTAATTTACTTTGACATTTAAAACTGGCTGCATTTCAGAGATTAGATATTTGTCAAAATTCAGTGCGGAAAGATTCATTTAAGCGAACAGTGCTAATTTTTTTTTTTATTAAACATATAACGTGATATGTTGTATTTTGACATGTGTTGTTTTATTACTTTGATTTGAAAAAAACTGCAGCTGCAACTCATAAATTGCTTATGGTAATTATGCTTCATCGGAATGAACTTGCCAAGAATGGTTTCAGTGATTTAAAAGTGGTGGTTATGATGTGAATGATAAACAACGTTCAGGTCACAACAGAAAAAGTTTGAAAATGCCGATTTGCAAACATTATTGAACAAAAACTCAGCTCAAACGCAACATTGAACGTTACTCCGGTAGTTGTTTTCAAACGTACATGCGCAATGATTCAAAAAGAAGGAAAATGGGTACCACACGACTTAACCGAAGATGCCATTGCAAATCGCTTAAACATCTCTATTTATCTGCTCGCTAGATATAAAGAAAGAGTTTTTTGTGGCGCATTGTGACTGGCGATGAAAAGTGAATATATTTTGACAATCTTAAACGCAAAAGGTCATGGGTGGACCCCGGCCAACCATTAACATATACACCAAATAAGCGATATATCCATGACCACAAAGCAATGCTCTGCATTTGATAGGAAATGCAAGGCGTCGTTTACTACGATACTCAAACCGAACGAAAGTATCACGAGGGATCAATATCAATTACAATTGAACCGTATAAATGAAGCATTGTTGAAAAAAAGGCCAGCAATCGACGCAAAGTTATTCTTTTGCACGATAACGTTCGACCACACGTTGCAAAAGCCGTCAAGGAAACACTGATGCAGCTCAAATAGGAAGTTCTCCCGCATCCAGCATATTCACTAGACTTAGCTCCTTCAGACTATTACTTGTTCCGAACAATGCAGTACGGCTTGGTGGGTACACACTTCAGAAATTACGAGGATATGCGAAAATGGATCGATGAATGGATTGCTTCAAAAGACCAATCGTTCTATCGGTGCGGAATCCATTTATTACCCGAAGGATGGGAAAAATGTATAGCTAGCGAGGGCATAACATACATATACTATGTCTTTTTTGTAAAAAAAATTCTTTTTATATTCGGCTAAAAGTTGCAAATAAATTCCAGCACTAATCCAAAATGGGTCACGTGATTCAGAAAATAACGGCTCAGTGATCAGATGCATTTAGTAGTACAACCGCATTTAGTACAACAAGTGTTTACTGAACGCTCTTGCATTTGATTGGCGGATTCCATTAGATCCAAAAATATAGATCAAACAGGTACAAGAATTTGTTAAACGCTTTAATTAAATTTCTTTCTTTTGATTAATCAAATGTTTCGTAGCATTCGTAGCGCCAAGTGGACACTACCGCACATTAAATTGACAAATAAGTTAAAATATATAAAACTATGAAAGTAACTATTAAATAAGTTACTAGTTACTTAAAAGATGTAACTAAATTAGGCTATTGAGAGTAAACTCGCTGTTATTAATGCGAAATTATAAAAAAAGTACATATTTGTTAACAATCAAAAAATATAATATATAAAATTACTAAAATTCGCATTAATAACAGCGAGTTTACATTAGTCTATTTATTCTTTGTATTTGAAATTTTCGAGAGTCGATTTTTATATTTAAGTTTTGTAACTAAATTAAGTTAAAATTACAGATGGAAAGAAAGTAACGAAGTTAAATTACAATTACTGAAAAAAAGAAACTCTAACTGTAACTTCGTTACAAGTAACAAATTACTTCCCATCTTTGGTATTATCTACACGCATAGACTTGTTTATAAAACAGACTGCACGCTTCTATTAAAACATAAAAACAACATTAATAACAGAAGAATAGTTGGTCAGATATTGTCTGACTAACTGCATTTTGACTTTTCCTTTAGCTGTCACAGCAACTGTACAGCTACTAGTACAATCAAAATAATAGCTGTAGCTATATTTTGACTTTTCTATTAGCTATCATGATGATTACAGAGCTATTAATACAATTAAAATAGCTTTGGCTGCCAAATAGCTATAATTAAGACTGGCAGAACGTTATACTAGTTACATTTTTGCTGTCGCAGCAAACATAGTCAGACCGTGTTTTACTTGAGTTATAAGTTACTTGAGTTACAATTTTATTTAAAAAATATATATATTTAATATTATGATTGAATTAATAATTTATAAAAAAATTAGTATATTTGTAAGATAATCAGACCAATATTAAGATACGTGTACAAATGGATTATATGTGAAATCTTAATATAAACATTTATAGATTATAATGTTACCAGAGCTAACATGTCTTTATCTGATACAATCACAAAAAGTATTCACTGATCGTTTTGAAGAGCATTTTATTTTACTGTGAACAATTACAACAAAACACAACCTATGTAGTTATTTGTAACAATATGTAATAAGGTTAAAATATATAAAGTAATTATAAAATTAACTGTTAAATTAGTTGGTAGTTACCATAAAAATATAACAAGTTACTTCTCAATTATGTGATATAACATACCATAATTTACTTTTTCATATGTCTTGTACGATGTTTACTACATCGATATTTAATTCATATATTTGCATTAATTTTGTAAACAGGCACAAATTTTATACGAAGTGGATGAGTAGGGCAAAGAGTGAAATTTGCTTGTAGCCGAAGATTTTTTAAATAATCGATAGGCTCCAAGTAAAAGTTATGTATCAAAGAAGCTATCATCGCCTTCAATTCAAGCATAGCAAATCGTTGACCTAAAATTTAATATATTTCGCTTTATAATCTAATTTTGTAAGAATACAAAAGAATTATTGCTTATACCGATGCAATTACGTGGTCCAGCACTGAATGGTATATACGAATAAGGGTGACGATTTCGGGCGTTCTCAGGCAAAAATCTATCTGGATCAAATGTATTTGGATTTGGCCAAAATTTGGGATCTCTATGAACGCCGAAAATATTAATGCCCAAGACTGTTCCAGTAGGCACTAAATATGTCTCTAAAAAACATTGTAAAAAAGATTATAAATTTTGAATGTTTTAGTATGCGAATGTATGCGCAAAATTATAGATCTGATTAAACTTCATATTAATTATGTATCTAATATAAAACGTAAGATTAGATGCCATTATAGTTTGAGAAATATATAAAATGTGTATAATAAACATATTTAAATTTACTAACAATAAAGAATATTCTAAACATTTTGTATGTTGTTATGTGTGTATATCAGGAAACGCGGTAGTGTCTCCGGCCATGTTCAAAAACTGAAAGACACTACAAGTCTCTTATCCCGAGCCACCAAAGTCCATTTTTCGGGGGTGCATAACTACTAAAATATAAAAAATTTTGAATCGAATGTTATATGTCCTGAAAGGCGGCATCGCCACGAGTAATTTGAGTCGAAAAAATTTAAAATCGTTCTGGAAATACAAGCGGTCGAAAAGTGGTAATTTTAATGAAAAATTAAGAAACGTCTCCTTCTTCTTCTTCTCTGTCCGCATTCAAGGCTGTATTAAAACTTTCTAATATCCCCTCTCACCTTTCCCTCACACCTTCATTTTTATATATTTGTAATATATTTATACTCTAAAAAGTAAGTGATATCCGAAAAAATCATATCATAAAAATAAAAAGTTCAAGCCATGTTCAAAAAAGGAGATACTAAAAAATTTAAACCTTTTTATCTAATAATAATACATTACCATGAAAGTAACTAATATATTATTAATTAAAGGTGTCAGTACAAAGTGAATATATATAATATATGAATATATACAATTTAAAAATCTTTCCAATCTTTTTTATCTTCTCTATCCGTTTTGCAAAACCGATTCAAACATACATAATATCATACGTTTTATATAACAATTGTTATAATATTACATTAATAATATTAGAAAATACAATAAATTACATCAGTAACGTATTCAAGGCGGAGGCGATTCGAAAATCGGCCGAAAGTTGCATACACTTTATGTATAATATGTTCATTTTGTACTGGCACTTTTATTAATAATATATCAGTTACTTTTCATGGTAATATGTTATTATTAGATAAAAAGGTTTAAATTTTTGTACAATTTTATAAATATTATATGAATATTATTAACAAAAAGTCTAGCAATTTTTTTAATTTTTTGAAATGGAAAGCTCGCATTTTTATATTATACATGATTTAACTCTTATACTTAATGATATTCCTGATAGCAAGATCATGTTTTCTGATCATTATTTTGACTATAAAATGTGAAACATGTCAGACTGTTTTGTTTTCTCTTCTATATACTACTTTCACATATACGGTTCACACATATATTGTATTGTAAAGTTTAGACAAATACATATGTGTGAGTTTTACTGAACCTCTCTTGAGAGACCATATATTTCATTTTTTGTCTCACATATCGTAATCCACATTACAATAAAGCTATTATTATTATTATTATTATTATTATCGTTAAAATGCTGAAAAGATAACACCTTACTATTTAGTTTAGATACTGAATAATCTATTTAAAATAAATTAAATCTAAAAATGTAACAGAACTTTGGTTTACTGCGTACGTAATTTTATGTCTTCTCCAGAAGTACGTGATAAAATAGGTGCGCTGGGATACAAACGTAACGCTTCCTTAATGCATCTCTCTAAATATGGTAGCTGTTGCAACAATTCCATAGTAAATTTCTCCTTATTCTCTCGCATTGCAGTATTGATTTCGTTCCTAATACGATCCTGTGCCATTATTGTTAATTATAAATATACTTGTTACTCTCTTACTATTTAAATAGACATAAAAGTCCGATTTAAATAAACATAAACTCCATGAACATTCCGGAATTCATCTTTCACAAATATTTTAATTAATTTGTTCGAAACATGTATCTACGTAAAATACAGTACATAAAAAAATAAAAGAATATTTTTCTAATTATATACATATTATAAAGGAAAAATTTACCAAATTTCAAATAATCATAACTTGGTAAATAATGAAGATAAAAATATGTTTAAAAAAGGAAAATGAAGCTTGAAGCTAATGGCAGCGATATCTTAAATTTGGAATAACTCAGTGAAAAATGATCGTATCAAACTCCGTAAAAAAGCATTTTAAAGATAAAAGTCCATATTTTCATGTGCATTTGGTCTCATTGAGCTGCGATACCTGATTCACGCCGTGCATCGTCGCAAACTCGCACCTTTGATTACAAATTTTACATCTTCTGATTTTGTCATCCGCCATTTTTAAAAGAATTACCGCTTATAATTGCCGTTTAAATATTCTTAAAGTGGACATTTCAAGCTTCATTTTCCTTTTTTAAACATATTTTTATCTTCATTATTTACCAAGTTATGATCATTTGAATTTGGTAAATTTTTCCTAATTTTTCAGTGTACCGCTTTTTTTCAGAAGACGCGGTAATGTCTCCATAGTATATATATACCTACAGACGCAGTGCATGTGTATATACACATTTATTTGTATATCTGATACATTGATATACAAAAAAACATTTATTGATAGTCCATATACGTACGCATATACGTACGCATATTATGTACACATTTATATGTATACAAAAAGATTATTAAAATGTTCAATTTGATTCATTCTTAAGAAATATCTTACAGAATTATGCAAATTAATTCGTTTCTTGGTTTAAAGATTCGGCTCATATTTCAATACCTGAACATTCTTATGCTCCGCTAATAGCATCAAAGTGAAACATACACCTTTTGCTGTAGTATCATGGCCCTAAAATCATATGATATATACAAAATTGAAAAGAAAAAAGAGACTCTTTTTATACAAAAAATAATAAACATTTAAAAAAATGGCATTGTAAGAGTCAATAAAATTAAAAATAATATTTAAAGTACAAATATGACCTATATTTAATTGTACCATTATATATGACAAAAAAAAACTTAAATATATAACTCAGAAAATTACATTATAAACTATAATAACATAAAACTGAAATATGAAACTATATGCTACGAAATTAGTTTCGACTTAACTATAGAGTCCTCTTCAGATTTGACATTCACGTTGAGTAGGACAGATAACCGCATTTTGTGAGATTGATAGTAAAAATTAAAAAATTATTTCTGTAAGACAACAGATTTAGATGACATTCAAAAATATTGACCATTCCGCTTAACAATGCTTGTACAATAATAAAAAATAAATTAAACAGGAGATATGTCCAAGAATAAATAATCAATATAAAATAAATTATAGATATTATGTCAAAAATAAAAAAGACTGTACCGCATAACACATTTTGCAATCAATGATGGAGAGATATGTCAAGATCATGTGACTGATCAGCACAGACTGCTATGTATATGCATATATAGATCATATTTGTACTTAAAGTATTATTTTTAATTTTATTGAATTTTACAACAGAGCTGCCAGATTCCGGCTTGCACTACCATTTGGTAGCGCGTGGTGAGGGCAGCTACGGTGTAAGATAGAAAAAATAACTAGTAGGTACTCTTTCTATCTTGTACTGTAGCTACCCTCATCACACTCTACAAAGTGATAGCGCAAGCCGGAATCTGGCAGCTTTGTCTTACAATACCATTTTTTCAATGTTTATTATTATGTGATATATATTGCAATATTTTATAAGATGTTAAAAATCAAGAGAAATTACAAAATTGTACCGCAAATATAAAAGTATCGACTTGCTCCCTAATATCCAAATCAGTCATGAAACCGTCGCGAGATGCTGCTATTAGGAGGTCCAACATTGCAAGCTGTTTTCGACGTGCTACAAATTCAAGTATTTATGAACATATGAGTCTATTTTTCTGTTTTTTATTACAATATTAATTATATTGTGAGAATTGACAGTACTTCTAGATTTTAAATTAAAAAATATAATATTTTATAGTATTAAACTAAAAGAAATAGCTTTTCTGATTACATTACATACTTCCAGTCCTTTCGGCGTCATCTTTGTCTGCTGATATATCATTTCCAAAGCCTTCTAAGTATTGACCATTAGTGCGTTCATGATAAAGTTTTCTTTCAGCAATTATCTACGCGTAAATACAACTTTTATTCTTTATACGAATTCGTCAACAATGTGTTAACGTTAATGAATGAATCAAAAATATACGAAGAATCGTCAATTACGGCCGAGATTAGATCTTGATATTTTAAAACTTAATCTGCAATTTCATTGTTTCCTGTTTTTTGCTTTTTATTACATTTAACTTTTTGCGTTTTTACTCCTTACCCAGTTTTTTTCGTTGTCTGTCGCAAAAGTTGAACGTTGGCAATGACAAAGTACACGTTAAAAGAAATTTGATTGTCGATAAAACAATCATAAAGAATGAAAAAGCAAAAAATTAAAATTAAGAAACAGGAAGCAAAGAATATATTAGAGCAGGCTTAATAGTAATTCTGGCAATATATGTATAATATTATTATATTACCAGTTATAAACTACGTTCGCTTATGAATATTAGTAAGTGCGCAGAGAAATATACTCTCACTAATAAATTTATTTTGTAACGTTACTATTTTAGTTCTAATTTAGGCCTATGTTTTCAAGCCGGGCTGTGTGTTAGGCGCGCAGTTTGAAGATTGAAAAAAATGTGTATAGATAATAACATAAAAATATAAAACTTTATAATAATAAAATCAATTAAGACTTCTTACAATTCAAAAACAAATTGGAGAGAATAAAGGACAATAGGAGTCGGGCGCAGAAGACGTCGCGCAATTAAAAACACCACTAATAAGAGATAAAAAGAATTCGTATTTATTCGAATAACGCTCTTTCATTATGATAATAGCGCTCTTACATGTTTCAATTAACTTTTTAGCCCTCTTCATAGACACAAACTAATTTACATAACTAATCCATACAATTTTTCAATCAATGTTGAGTTCCTTTATTCGCGAGATGATTTATTATAATCTTAATTCTTTAAAAATTAGTTTTCACAATTTATTATTTCTAATTATTTTCAATTCTTCTGTTTTTCTTCTTTTTCTTTTTCATTTATTTTAATTTTGTCTGTTATTTATTATGTATCTTACTTATCACGACGTAGAGGAGCTCACCGTTGATTGAAAAATTGTATTGATTAGTTATATTAATTAGTTTGTTCTCTAAAGAGGGCTAAAAAGTTAGCCAAAACATGTAAGAGCATTATAATTATAATAAAATGCGTTATTCGAATAAATGATTTTTGTCACTTATTAATGGTGTTTTTAATTGCGCGACGTCTTCTGCGCCCGACTCCTATTGCCCTTTATTCTCTCCAATTTGTTTTATAAAAATAAAATTAATAGTCAAGACATCTCAAGACCTAGCTTCGATCGTATTTAGCTCTCATTTACTTTTATTTAGTTTATTCTTATATAACGGTCTTGTATAACTTTCTAATGAATGATTTTGCAATGATTTTACGTGAAAGTTGTGAGACTTTTATAATAACTATTCAAAATAGATAATATTTAAATATAATATTATTGTAAGTAAAATTTTTACATACGCGTTCCGCAAATCCATGTAATATCTTCAAAACCTTTGTTTGCTGTCTGCCTTGTGGCGTCAAAGAGAATATCCAATTAAAATGCAACCATGGTCTAAAAAATCTAAGCCACAGTTCCTTAATAATCGGATTCATAATTTAAAAAAATGATAGGTAGGTATATATTATTTTGTAAAAAGCTTTTTTCAATTCCTTTTTAAACTCATAGAATTAACAGATATTTCAACCATAAAAGAGGTTTGTAGAAATAATAAAATTACGCTAAAAACAAATTTATATATTTGACTTATATTTTGAACTTTTTTAACTATTTAGTCTTATGTTAGATAAATATACATTTACGTTATACACGTATAAATTGTGTATTATGTTTTACAGTTGATGCTTCAGTATTTAAAATTTGGAAATCTTTAATAAGCAGTGCTTATTTTTAGAAGCAATTTAATTAATCACATTTTTATAAATTTTTAATTACTAATAAGTAATAAATTTTTAATTACTACTACGACAGTAATTTATATTGAACATTGTTATTTATTCTAATATGATTACAAATGTATTCAATATGTTAAAATAATATAGATATATAATAAATTATATTTACCTATACGTTAGAAGTTCACTCATTTGGTGATTCGCTTCTTGGTACTGTTCTCGGAATGCACCAAGATTTTTTAGAGAAATACCCATGGCAGTTTCTATAAACATATTTGTAAATGTATCGTGATATATGTATAATATATTATATATACAGGGTGGGCCATTTTAATCTCCCCACCTGAATTCCTCGAAAACTAAATCCTGTAGACAAAAATGGTTCAAATAAAAATTGAACGGTATCGAGGGGGACACGTTTTCGTCACATTGTTTTTTTTCTAAGTGAAGGAACTAAAAAGATATGAAGGTCACATCCGCTTTTTTAAATGGAATTATGTAATTTTTTTTAGGTAACGTGATTTCTCTAATTATTTTGCATATAAAAGTATTAAGGTAGACATACCAAAAAACCAATAGTTTTCGAGATATTTTACACTTCATTTTGATACATATTGACACAAAATGTTAAATAACTCGTAAACTGTTGACTTTTTGATTATCGTACCTTAATACTTTTGTGAACAGAATAATGAGGTAAATCAAGTGGTATAAAAAAAACAAATAGTTGCATATTAAAAAAATTATCCATTTTGTATACATTTTTTTTTTAAAGCAACTATGTATTTTCTTTACACCATTTGATTTATCTCATTATTCTGTTCACAAAAGTATTAAGGTACGATAATCAAAAAGTCAACAGTTTACGAGTTATTAAATATTTTGTGTCAATATGTATCAAAATAAAGTGTAAAATATCTCGAAAACTATTGGTTTTTTGGTATCTCTACCTTAATACTTTTATATGCAAAATAATTAGAGGAATCACGTTATCTAAAAAAAATTACATAATTCCATTTAGAAAAGTGGAGGTGACCTTTATATCTTTTTAACGCCTCCACTTAGAAAAAAAACAATGTGACTAAAACGTGTCCCCCTCGATACCGTTCCATTTTTATTTGAAACATTTTTGTCTACAGGATTTAGTTTTCGCGAAATTCAGGTGGGGAGATTAAAATAGCCCACCCTGTATACATATATTTCAGGAATATATATAGGTCTATAATAATTTCAGTAAAGTAGTGTACTAATTTTGAAATAAAAAATTGTATTTGTTTTAAACTATCCGTTGATGTATGTATGTACATACATATTAACGCCTGCTAGGATGTAGCACGTGGCCGAATAGCACGTTTTATTTGTTCTACGAAAAGCAATATACTATATTACATGATTCCACGAAAAGAAGCACGTTTCAATTTAATTGACGAATATTATCATGTTTCAGTCCTCTCGCTGCGAAAACGAATACGTTTCAGCATTTAATCGCGAAAAGTAACGTATTTTGCTCAGGTAGTGCTAAATTAAAAAATGTTTGTTTCTAAATTAAAAAGTTAAAAGTTAAGTTAAAAAGTTAATTAATTTTAACTTAATTTTAGTTACATTTTAGATTCCTAACTTTTTAACTTTATTTAGTTACATTTTATCAGTAACTAATAATTTTTTTTATTAATTTTTTTAAAGTTAAGTGTAAATTATATTTACCTATACGAGCCATACGTAACTAAAGATACGGCCGGCTTGCAGCACGTGATCAGCGCCTTCGGTGGTACTGATCGTGTGCTGTAAGTATTATAGATATTCACATCATTGGTTATGTGTTATTACGTCAGTCTGTTCCATATTGATGAATGACGCTGTTGATGTCCTGCAAGTAGAGACTCTTTATTGTCCGCAAGCGGACACGAGTTTGCATCACTGGTTCTAACTTGCAGGACTTGCAGCTTACAATAGCTTGTAGTCATTTGTAGTTTGCTGCTGCATTTATTCGGTTCTAATAATAAGAGTTTGAGGTTTTGAGCAAAAACGCAATGTTGACGTTAATAATAGAATATATATATATATATAAAACTGAGTATATATAGAAACAAAACATATTATTATAAAAGATATATATTATTATAAAAAAAATTAATATAATAAAAATTTTGGATATGTTCTAAAATCTAAAAAAGTTTTTTTTTTATTGTCACTTCCGTTATTATTAAGACTGAAATCCTGAAATCATGAAAAAAATGAATTTTTAACTTTTAATTTTTCAATTACATTTTTTTATTAACTTAACTTTTAATTCAATTAATTTCATTATACTTTATATTATAACTTTATATTATACTTTATATTATACTTTATATTATATCTTAACTAAGTTAAATTTTCAAGATTGTTAACTTTAACTTAACTTAGTAAAAAAAAAAAGTAACTTACACAACCCTAATTTTGCTTTATACCGCGAAAAACATAAAACACTCAAACATATTATTATTCATGGTATAAAATGAAATGTGTTACTTTTTGAAAGTCAAAACTCAAATAGATTGATTTTCTTGGTGAAAACAAAAACATAACGTTCTTCGACGCAACAACGTCATAAGAGAGTGGAGTTTTACATAGGACAAATAAAATGTGCTACTTTTCGTAGCAGGCGTCGATATATAGTTACGAATATGATACGATACCACATATTATACTTAAGGTGTGTTTACTAATAAACGATACTAAATCATTTACAACTGTTTCTTCTGTATTTTTCAAGGAATTTGTCATATCTTCAGCAGCCTCGATCAAAATATTGACAAACTGCTTCAATATATCAAAATGAAACGTAGGAGTTAATATTTTTCGATGAGAATGCCACTTTTCGCCTAAGACATAAACATAAAAAATACGTATATATGATTATGAAGTATATAATTATAAACCTTTTAATTTTAAATGAATTGATATTTTTATAATCATTGATTTTTTTATTTAAAATTTATTGTTTCTTTAATATGTTTTTAAACATTTATGATAAAAGAAATTGTGTAATAATTAAAACATCATAAATAAATTGATTTACGTTTTCAATACTTTTATCATAATATTTATATTAAGACAATTATACAAAGTTTATTATTACTATTAAACATTCTACCTAGCAACAAAAATTGTTTTTATGTTTCAGTATATATCATGTTTTTATGAGTATTAATAAAGTGCAATAGCTAGTTTATAAAAAATAGCGGGATATCTGTATCAGTATTATATGTGTATTACGTGCATACATGCGGGGTGATTTTTCACTACTTAATTTTATCACATAGATTTAACAATAAGTGTGAGAGTACAGAAAGTTTACTTAAAATTTTAAATAGTTTTGGCTCGTAACTCCTTTATGTATTCGATTTTTATATAATCGTTTTTTATGTATTTTTCACTGTTTCACACAAATCTGAATGCATCTCTATTACATAAGAATTTTGGAGAATCTATAAAAATTATTTAAAATCTTGATTTTGACATTTTCCGATAATTGATAACTCTGGACTAAATGGTATTATGTACAAGCTTAGTGGTAAAAATAGATAAAATAAAAGCCGCAGAGGCCTTATTCTGTAACTCGTTAACTGCCTTAACGAGTTACAGAATACAGGGGCAGGCGCGAGAAAATTGTTCTCTGTCGTAACAGAGCGACATAATAATCAAGAAATAGAAAAATTACTATTTCTATACTTTTTTCGGTACTTTTTATAACATGCTGATAATGACGTTGCAATTATTTATAAAAACTATAATACTCGATAATTAATTAGTCGCTGAAGCTAATCTTTTTGATTAAGTTTTTTAAGATGTCTATATGAGCATCAAATTTTTAAATTACCAGACAATTTATTATAATTTGTAATAGTATTACGGTAATTGTGTCGATATAGCGTTTCAAGACCGAAAAATCAGCAGTTTAACAAAATTTAAGATACGTAGTATACATATATAATTAACATGGAATTATTTAAGCACCAAAAATCCAACTCGATCGTTATGGATTTTATTTCCTATTGTGTATTTATTTAAACGCGTTTATTATTGTGTATTTACGTAAACGCGGTATTTATACCAATGAGATTCTTATTGTTTCTATATTAACTATCTCGAAGTGGTGTTCTAACTTCATGGATGTGTTCTTTCACGCCTAGCAATCATGATTGCTGGAAGCTGTAAAAGTTGACTGTTGCAACTAATTAAAAATGTTATGCTGTATTCAGCCAATCTTTTCTTTCAATATAGAGATGTGGATAAGGTTGAATGAAAATATTATAATAAATATTTCACTTCTAATATAAATAAAAATACAAATCAAAAAGAATGTAACTGCATTTATGTGAATATTACGTATGATTCATCCATCAAGAACATTTTGAATACTATGAGTAATAATTTTATGTTATTATAATTCTATATTAATTTATTAGTATAAAAAATAGACTTGTTCCATTTTATTATATGTGTTGTGTATATGTATATTCTCTTATTTATATTACTATCTCTTAATATTATTACCTTTACTAGTGACAAGACCAGTACCAAACCAAGGTTTTGCGATATCATAAACGACACTCTTTTCATTGTGTTTTTTGCTGCTTAGTATTACCTGTAATTATAGAGAATATTTATTTGAACATTATTTTATAGCGAATTCGGTAGACCTACACTGAGTCTGTAGTGTAATCTAACTTATCTAACCGAATGTGAAGGTTTCTTGGCATATATTGCGACAGAATCCGATGAGAATGTATACGTAGATTCAATGTGTGATGCGTTCCACTTAACGCTCACAACGCTCTAACATCATTCGTTCTTGTTTAACATTTAATAAACAATAAGAATGAAATGATTCCACGACCATTCTGAATGTTACACGGAACGCAATTGCCACGGATTGCCACGTGAATTCTACTCGTACGTGAACAATCGAGTAACAGTCCACTCAAAAACGGTACTATCCCTTCATAATCAGACTTCAAAAAAATTATACGATGGTTACACTGGATTTAGATAACCGAATCATTTTTTAAATGTTACTAAATTAATAGTATTAGACTATTTACGAATACATATATCAAACGTATCGAAACCAATCAGGTCATTAACAATGTTAAATAAAAGTTAAATATATGGAAGTGTCTCTATACGTAAAATATGTTGAAGGAAAATTAATTTTGATTTGATAAGAAAATGTCAACTTTGCCCTCACCCTCCACCCCCTTCATTCACGTAGATATTATATCAATAAATTTTTTAATATACATACAGTTCACGTAAAATATGCGGATTCCACGTAAATGTCCTTATCGGGAAGATAATGGTAGAATGTAGGACACCAAAAAAGTTTACACTCAATGTGTGCATGTGTGTCGAATTCGTTAAGTATTTAACTCATAAGCAACGCAGATAATAATCAATAGGTTTCGAAAGTATTTCAAGTATTCAATCATTTCTAATACAGTTTTTACGAATAAACATAATTTTATAACAAAAAATATCAATACTTATTTTTACTTATATATTATATCAATAATAAAATTAAAATAATATATTTTCCATAATATATTTTATTACCTCTATATCATCTGGATGACGGATGGACACAAAAGAAAAGAAGACTAACCACATTCTGCAGATAGGATTGTACTCATCAAAAAACTTCATTAATCTACTAAATTGTTGCTCTAAAAAGTATGCGCATATTAATATCATGTAAACTTATAGAATTATCATAAGTATGGATGAAAAATGTTATACAATTAACTGAATCATTATACGTAATTCATGTATTCTGTCATTTCTCAAATAACTACATTAATCGAAAAATGAATATTTACTGTGTAAAAAAGAACTTATGTACATATATGTCATATATATCATATATACACACAACACACACACACACACACACACACATATACAGGGTGTCCCAGTAACTCTGTTACAAGGCAATATCTTTGTTACCGTTAATGATACGCGAAAATGTCTAAGGAAGAAATTGGTTCGGAGGGGAACATGTATTGGTCACCTTGTTTCTTTTCTAGGTGAAGGCGCTAAAAATAAGAAGGTCACCTCCACTTTTTTAAATGGAATTATGTAATTTTTTTTAGATAACGTGATTCCTCTAATTATTTTGCATATAAAAGTATTAAGGTACGATAATCAAAAAGTCAACAGTTTACGAGTTATTTAACATTTTGTGTCAATATGTATCAAAATAAAGTGTAAAATATCTCGAAAACTATTGGTTTTTTGGTATCTCTACCTTAAACTTTTATATGCAAAATAATTAGAGGAATCACGTTATCTAAAAAAAATTACATAATTCCATTTAAAAAAGTGGAGGTGACCTTCATATTATTTTTAGCGCCTCCATCTAGAAAAGAAACAAGGTGACCAATACATGTTCCCCTCCGAATCAAACAATTTCTTCCTTAGACATTTTCGCGTATCATTAACGGTAACAGAGATATTGCCTTGTAACAGAGTTACTGAGACACCCTGTATATATAATATGTATGTGCACAAAGAAAAAGATTAATTTACGCGAATTGTTAAAAAATTGTAACTTACCACGTGAACCCAAGAATTGCAATGCATTTCCAATAATCGGATAACCTGATGGCCCTGGTATAAGATTAATAAGTTGTCTTTTCCTTCCGTAATGCACATGATAATAATATACTAGTATAATAAGTATAAATGAGAGCATTATAATAATAAACATTGTTTATCGTCAAATAATTAGCTAGTTTAACCAAGACTTGTTTCTTCTACTTTTTATTTCTTCAATTCTGAAATTGCACGAATCACTAATCCGTATTATTTGCTACAGAACAAATTTATATAAACTAGCTTCTATATATTCTAAATGTGTTTAATAAAGGAAAGGTACAGTTAAACACGTTATTTATACTTTGTCATTTAAAACTTTAATATTCTTTTCATTTTGATTGAAAATTACGTGTGTTCAACATACTAGGAAAATTCTGATAAAAATTTTTTAATTAATTTTTTTTATGTAGTTTGAATTTTAATTTCTATTCCTGAAGTATCGTATTACTGCAAATATTTTCGTTACTAAGAAGAGTGTTATGATGAATCAAGAAGTTCTTTCGTTAATACGCTCACAAATACTACTCATTCGCTTTTATAATCTTCTATTTGCTCATTTATGCTAATCGAACAGTATTGACGTTAACAACGTTCAATTATTAATTATAAATTTTTTATCAAATTGTTTAATAATTGTTTATATATCTAAAAATATTACGGGTGCAAGAAGGTTAAGCCTGTGGCACAAGCGATGCTTGTTTTTCTACTAGATTACTGTTGTGTTTTCGTAAATTACTAGAATTTCTGTGTATTCTGTGTGATGCAATTTTAATAATTGATTAAAACGCAAGAAGTCCAGTAGGGAAATAAGCATCGTGTACCACAGGCATTATCAATTATGAAATGATTGTACATATACTACTACTATATTATATACATTTTATACATATTATAATAAGTCACGATTCCATTTTTAATATATATATACAATATATTATCTGAGTTAACAATTTGTAATAAATTTATATATAGATACATTTAAAAAATAATAGAATATAAACAGATATTAGATTAAATCTTAATACAAACATTCATAGCATATGATAATTATCAAAGATATAAAGGTATATTTCAATTATTATACATTATCACTGTTTGTTCACTACAGTAAAATTTTATTTTACAGACAATCCATATGTTTATAATAATATGTAATAAGATTAAGATACATAAAGTAATTATAAAAGTAACTGTTAAATTAGTTGTTATATTTATACCACAAAAAAGTATAAAAGTTAATAAAAAAAACTCTTACCATAATTTTGTTACAAGTGTGTTAATGAGTTACTTCCCAATCATGTAATATAACATACCATATTTTACTACCTCTTCATATGTCTTGTATGTCTACTATATCGATATTTAATTCAAATACTTGCATTAATTTTACAGACAGGAACAAATTTTACACGAAGTGGATGTGTAGAGCAAAGAGTAATATCAGCTTGTAGCTGTAGATCTTTTAAATAATCAACAGGCTCCAAGTAAAAATTATGTATCAAAGAAGCTATCATCGCCTTCATTTCAAGCATAGCAAATCGTTGACCTAAAATTGAACATGTGCCGCAATATGCAGATTTTATGAAAGAGTATAAAAGAATTGTTGCTCATACCGATGCAATTACGTGGTCCAGCACTGAATGGTATGTATGAATAAGGATGACGATTTCGGATGTTTTCAGGCAAAAATCTATCTGGATCAAATATATCTGGATTTGGCCAAAAATTAGGATCTCTATGAACACCATAAATGTTAATAAACGTGGTTGTTCCAGCACGCACTAAATATGACTCTAAAAAAATATAAAACGAGATTATAAATTTTGTGTGTGTGTATGTTCAAAATTATAAACCTTATCAAACTTAATATTGGATATCTATTATATATATCTCTAATAACTAACTAAATAGAAATAGATGCACTTAGTTTGCGTAATATAAAGAGAGAGAGAGTAATAATTATTTAAATTTACTAATAATAAATAATAATAAATAATAAAATTTTCTTAATATTTCGTATGTTGTATCGCGTATTTGTATATATAATTTTTTAAATATTACATAAATATCATTATTAACAAAAAATGTAGAAATTTTTGAATTTTTTGGAGTGGAAAACTTGCATCTTATACATTGATGATATTCGAGATAACAAGATCACGTTATTTGTCGTTATTTGTCCACGATATAATGTCGTTAAATATATCAGACTTTATTGTCTTCTCTTCTATAATTCTTTCGTAAGTTTTATACGAGGATTATTCAGAAAGTAAGTTCCTATAATAGCCTATTAAAAGAAAACAAATATATATAATTCTTACTAAAAATTTTTATAGCTTTTTAAGTACACCTTTCAGTATTAATCTACATGGTTGCCGCCGTTGTTGCAATTATTATAACGAGACACCAAGGATTGTATTCCTTTATCATAGAAAGTTGCCACCTGTGAAATAAATATATTGATAGTTTCTTTGATTTTATCATCATTGATGAAATCACCGGTTAACAAGGGAGGATTTCGATTTAATTTTCTCTTCAACTGCACACATCAAATCATCATTACCCAAAGAAGCACGCTTCGTTTATCAACATGCACATTTTTGGATAAGGACTTATACTGTAGTAACATAGAATCACTCATAGCATGTTTTTTATATATTTCAGCCGCATTAACGCTCCTCGCATTTAAAAAATAAATAACGGACTGTATTTCACAAGCGGCGGCAAAATTTAAAAATGGAACTTACTTTCTGAATAGTCCTCATATTTTGTATCAAAGTTTAGATTTGTATATAAATATGAATTTTTTTTTATATATTGTGTGTGTGTGTGTGTGTGTGTGTGTGTGTGTGTGTGTGTGTGTGATGTGTGTGTGTGTGTGTGTGTGTGTGTGTGTGTGTGTGTGTGTGTGAAGCCTCTTGAGAGGCCATTTGTTTCATTTTTTGTCTCGCGTGTATTATAATCTGTATTTCAATAAAGTCATTATTAGTATTGTGTCTCCCAAGTAAAATGACATAAAGATAAATCGGAAATGATTGAATAATGACTTTTAATGATCATTTTGGAGTCATTTTAACATTATTTTGATATCATAAGGAACTTGTTGTTCTGCTTGGGCTTCTCCACCCGAAGCATTCTCCTCGCGCCTGACAATTCTATTATTAATATTCTTCTTTATATGAAAGAAATTATATCTGTTTATGCGAGTGATGATTACGCGATCCATACCGAACGCCGCGCCGTGCCGCTTGAACCAGAACACGCGCTTGGACATGACATTATTATTATTATAATTTAACGTCAAAATAACGAGAAATAACGTCACTTTGTGTGCTGCTTAAAGTATTTTGAGTAATCTATTAAAAAAACAAAAGAAAGAAATTGAGCACATCGGTAGATGTGCACCAACATTGGTAGATGCTCAATTTCTTTCCTTTAATTGTTTATTTCGTAATCACGTTTTCTTTCGTATGTTTTGGTATTAAAAAAATTTAGAAACACTATATTTATCAAGTAATATCACTTTACTATTTAGATATCGAAAAATCTATTTAAAAATAAATTAAATTTAGAAATATGTAACAATAGATTAATTTAATGCGTACGTAATTTTACGTCTTTTCCAAGAACACGTGATATAAAAGGCACACTAGGATACAAACGTAACGCTTCCTTTATACATCTGTCTAAATATGATAGTTGTTGCAACAATTCCTTAGTAAATTTCTCCTCATTCTGTCGCATAGCAGTATCAATTTCGTTCCTGGCACGATCCTAAACGTGAACATTAATTAGAAATGTTATTATACATTTGTTACTTCAATCTCTTTAGCTGAACGTAATTAAACGCAATAAAATTTCTGGAAATCACATTTTAAAAGTATCTTGATTAATTTCTTTAAAATATGTGTGTGGGGGTAAAATACATTATAAAAAATAAAAGAACATTTTAAATATATACCTGCGCGCGCGAATGCTTGTAAATGTACAAAAACTACATTTGTTTATATCTGATATATTGATATATAAAGATATAAAAATAATAATGTTATACACACACACACACACACACACACACAAAACACATGTATACACATACACATTTCAAAATGCATTTGTAATGTTTCATTTAAGAATTATTTTATAGAACTATTTGAACAAAGTAATTTGCAATCTATGTATTCGGTTTAATATTCGATAAATACCTGAATGTTCTTATGTTCCGCTAATAACAACAAAATAAAACATATAGCTTTTGCTGTGGTATCATGAGCCTAAAATCATATTATTGTATATATATCATAATATTGAATAATGTGTAAAAAATAAAGAGAAATTATTATAAACATTTACCGCAACCACAAAAGTGTCGACTTCCTCCCTAATATCTAAATCAGTCATGAGACCGTCGCAAGATGCTGCTATTAGAAGATCCAACATTGCAAGTCGCTTTCTTTTTGCTAAATTCAAGCATATGCAGTATCATTTTAATAGCCCTATTTTTCTGTGGCTTTTATTACATATTGATTACATTGGGAGAATTCAAATTAGTTTTACATTTTAAGTAAAATAAAATATAATAATATATTAATATAATAATTTATTATAAAGAAAAACGGTCTAAATTGAGCGGTAATAAGAGATCTTTTAATTATAAGTTTACAATATTACTAAGAAATAAAAATAAAAATATATAAAGGTATAAAAATATCGAACGTTTTGGAACTCACAAGTCCTTCTTCAGCGAAAGATGTTTCGATGTCAACGAAATAAAAGCACAATCTTACGGTCAAAGTGACATAGTGTGGTATTGAGCTGGTATAACAATTTGTTTGACGACAATGAATTTCTCAATTTAGACACAATTTTGCACATTCACGAATTCACAAAAACAGGAGAATCATTTTTCTTAAAACAAATTGTTATACCAGTACAATACCATGTCGCTTTGACCATAAGATTATGCGTTTATCTCGTTGACATCGAAACGTCTTTATGAATCGCTGAAGGACCTGCGAGTTCCGAAACGTTCGATATTTTTTACTTTTATCTATTTTATATATTTTTATTTTATATGTTGCTTACATTAGTAATATTGTAAACTATTAATTAAAAAATCTTATTACCACTCGATTTAAACCGTTTTTCTTTATACATTGCATTACAAAAAACTAGCGAAATCTAATTATAATAATTATAATAATTTATAATATTAGATTAAAATTAGGAAACAGTTTCTGATTGCATTACGTACTTCCAATTGTTTCGACGTCATCTCTTTCTGCTAACGTATCATTGCTAAATTCCTTTAAGTATTGACCATTAGTGCGTTCATGATAAAGTCTTCTTTCGGCAATAATCTACGCATACATACAACTTTATAATGCCTCTTTTGTTCTTTATATAAATGCATTCATAAATATATTGTTAACCATTAATGAATTACTTAAAGATATATAATACATCAGTTCAAAAGATTCGTGAGCAAACGATGAGCAAACGAATGCATAAAGAAAAAATCGATTTTTTAATATGGGGGGGGCCATCTTCTCACGGGTGTGCGACGTCATATTGCTGACGTAATATAGTTGCATCGTTGACATCGAATCGACGTCACCCCAATCTTTTTGTGCTGCTTGGGAATGTGCTCTTTGTTTCTTGTTTCTTGCTTTTTACTACTTTTTTTCTTGTCTTTTTGCTCCTTATCAAGTTTTTTCATTGTCTATAGTTCAAGGTAAAAATTGACGAACATTGACAAGAAACACAAGAAAAGAAATTTGATCGTCGATAAAATGATCGTAAAAGATGAAAGCAGCATGAGGTTAAAAGCAGGAAACAGGAAGTAAAGAATAAATTAGATTAGTCTAACACAACACAGTATTTCTAAATATGAATTTTTCAGGAACAGAAAAGATACTTTTTCAAAATAACCAGTTATCGTTATTCGTTTCCAATTCAAAAAGATAACTTGATAGTTATCGTTTCTAGTTACTGCTAATCAAAAGTAATTTGTTAAAACTAATAAGAGAACAGGGTTACGAGCCATAGATTCGTTAAAATCTTTAATTTTTTTTTTTAATTCTAAATATATTGCGAAGATTATCACGTAATGTTGGCGTTTCGTCCCGGCTTCCACTACTGGACTCATCAGTAAGATATTGTAATGGAAGCCTACCTTAGACCACCTTAGACGCCGGTGTAAGTTATTAAATCGAGATTCTATATAAAGAGATATACGCGTGTCTCAGCACTTGCGAGAATTTGCGAATATCAATAGACCTCTGATGGCGGGTCGATGTAGTAATATTCTTCGCAATATTTATCTAAAGTACTACTTTGGGGGGACTTTTCAGATAGAGTTGCGTTTTAAGACCGACGATTGTTCGGCGCGCAATGTGAGGGGAGTGGGTATATATGTATTATAACAAGTACTATTTTACATCTCCTTCTATTTAGAAACGTTAAACTTTCCACGCGAAGTAACTCTCACCTCCCCCAACCCCCTGCGAAGGGGCACACGACTTCTACGATTGTACTGTTACTATGTTTGTACTATCGGGGCAGACCTCTGTCGACGGTGTGGGTGCGGGGGGGTGGCCGAAGGCCACCTCCTTGCACCCGCCCGTATGTGTGTGTGTGTGTGTGTGTGTGTGTGTGTGTGTGTGAAATATCAAGTAATAGACTCATAATCGTTAGATTTTTTAAAATAAATACGGTAGTATTTTTACGTACTCGTTCAGTAAATCCATGTAATATCTTCAGAATCTTCGTTTGCTCTCTACTTGTTGGTGTCAACGAGAATATCCAATCGAAGTGCAGCCATGGTCTAAAAAGTCTAAAAAGTCACAATTACTGAACGTGTTCTCTCGCATTATATTAAGGAAACGATAGTATATCGTAAAATTTGTAAATGAATCCTTTAATTCCTCTATAAATTCTTAAAATTAGTGGGTAATGTTAATAATCATACAAAAAAAGATAAATTCATAGAAATAATAAAATTATGCTAAAGAAATATGTAAGATTTGTATATTTCACTCATGATAAACTTTATTAACTATTCAATCTTACAAGAAAGATTAGGCAACTCAGAAATTCAGAAAATTTTATGCATTTCGTATAATTAGAGTAGTTTATCCATAATACAGAACTATTTTTGCTCGTACCATATTATACGGTTTGGTTTTCGAAGAACATATATTTATCGATATTTATCTGTATGCATATTTTGTAAAAATATAAAGTGATGCAACTTTTGTTTAAACTTTTATTCGATATTTCTCGACAGTTACTGCACCAAAAAGAAAAATCTAGATTTTTTTCAAAACATTATTTTATTCTCTCAATTATTTTATTCTCTCTAATATGGCGCATGAACCAAATAATTCTGTGTATGTGTGTGTGTGTGTTACGAATAAACTACCCTATTTACACACAATATTTCAGAATTTTCTGAATTTTTGGATTGCCTAATCTTTGTTAATAGATGAAACATACATTTGTGCACAAAATTTTTGCATAATTTTTTTATAATTAATACTTATTATTTAAAATTTAAAACTTTTTAACTAATATTTATTTTCAAATGAATAGTTCATGTGTGTAAATTAATATGTCGTGTAAATTTCTAATTACCAATGACGGTTTACTTTGAACCTTATTATCCTGATATAATTATAAAATATTAATCAATATGTTAAGACGGAATGATATAATGATAGATGTACGTGTTATAAATTACCTATAAATAAACAGTTCGCTCATCTGCTGAGTCGCTTTTCGATATCGTTGCTGGAGTGCACCAAGATCTTTTAGAGAAATACCCATAGCAGTTTCTATAAACGCATTTGTAACAATATCATGTTATATAATATTATTGTACATATACATATATTCCAAGAATATATGGCTGTAGAAATTACAGTATAGTGATAACCAACGACCGATTTTTTAAATAAAAAAATTGCATTTGTTTATACTATTCATCAATCTATGTAGTTACGAATATGATACAATACCACATATTGCATTCAGCGTATGTTCACTAACAAACGATAATAAGTCATTTACAACTGTATCTCCTGTATTTCTCAAGGAATTTGTCATGTTTTCACTTTCCTCGATCAGAATGTCAAGAAACTGCTGCAATATGTTAAAATGAAATGCGGAATTTAATATTTTTCGCCGTGAGTGCCACTTGGCGGCTAAAACATAAACAATACAATGTATAATTATAACGAACCCTTTGATTTAATTTTGGACTAATTTTTTACAAACATTAATTTTTTATTTGAAATTTACCAATATACCATCACAAAGTGCTCAATAATGTTAAATATTTATAAAATATTTGTTTATAAAACAAAAATACAAAAGTTTATGTTTTGTGAAAATATGTCTCTTAAAACTAAATGTAGCCCTAGACACGTATTATTTAACTATTTGGAATGGATCAGAATTATTCTGTTATTCTTAGAAAACACATAGAAATCTAATTGCATAATTCTAATCGGAATTTATTCTGAACAATTCCATAATGTGCCTTAAGCAGAATCGTATTGTAAGTTGCATTAGATCAGAAGTTTGAAAGCTTAAGGTCTAATCTCTCGAAACTATCTTTATTTGGTCTACGTATATATAGCAGTATAGACTCTATAGTACATATAACAGAGATGCACAAAGTGTCAACGTAATCGTAATATTTGGCCAAATATTATCTTATCGCGCTTAATGTCTGATTATGCATATATTCTTATTTATATATTAATGTTATTACCTTTACTAATGCCAAGACCAGTACCGAGCCAAGGTTTTATAATATCGTAAATGTTACTTTTTTCAATGTGTTGTGTATGGGTTAATATTATCTGAAATTAAAGTCAGTATTAAGTTAAACAGTATTTAAACTCATGAGGAATGCTAATAATTAATTTAATAAATGTTGAAAGTATTTCAAATATTTAATTTTCTCTAATATATTTTTACGAATAAACATATTTTTACAATATAGAAATTATTAGTCTATCTAATTATGTATATTAATAATAAAATGAAAATAAAATAATTTTCATATTTTATTACCTCTAGATCATTTGGATGACGAATGATCACAGCATAAAAGAATGACCAAATTTTGCATATGGGATAGTACTGGTCGAAAAAGTTAACTAGCTTTTTAAATTGTTCCTCTAAAAAATGCAGTACGCTTATAAGTATTGGGTAAATTCACAGAATTACAAGGTCGAATAAGAAATATTAAATTCTTTGTACGACCGTTGTTTGTTCGAATAAGAAATGTTTTTTTAAACTACATGAAGTTAAAGTTAAAAGCTTATAAAATTAATTTAATTAAAGGACCCCGCACGTTTCATGGAAAAATGATCCCGGTCAAATTGCTCCGTTTTGAGATATGTTGTACTTCTTGTAATTCTGAACAAATGTTTCCATTGCCACATTCACATAAAATCAATAGATAAAAAAATATAGCGCTTTGAAGTCAGAATTTGACCTCCTTAAGATATTTAAATTAATGCTTTCTTTTAATGTAATAGGTATACAATGTTTGTTTAAGACATACAACAGGATAAGAAGAGCTCAATTATTTTATTTATGATATTATCATGTTACTAGTCATAGGTTAAGTTTAGAATGATAGAAAAGGTTGTATGTATGTGTGGGTCAGTCTTGTGAGACCTTTCGAATGGATCGGACGTGTTTCGTCCCGACTCGGGTGTTACATCACCTCGATTAATATTTTTGAAAAGTGTTGCCGACTTCGACCGAACTTTGTATTCAATATATTAGAAGTCCTTCACTCGTCTGGGCGCGCGGAGGTGCGGAGAACGTTTACACATGCATCGTGACCGCAGGCGTCCAGTGCAGTTTAGAGGGCATCTTTGATTTTATTACATCATCTTTCGCACACACACACATATACCCGCCCGGTTTCGAGATGACCGATGCTTTGCATACACATTATATCTTTTTTGTGAAAGGTTGGAGGTGTCTTGGAAACGACTGGCCACGTTTATCCGGTTACCTCGAAACCAGGGCCATTTAAATTAAGAAGAAGAAGAAATGTGTGTGGGTCATGAATGGGTTAAGATTTATTGCAAATCAAGTCCTCTTCTTGGATAATTTTGTAAAGCTAAAGTTAATAAAATTCTACAATGTTTGTTTAACGTGATCTCCTTGCCTCTCACATTCGACCTGTAATCTATATCGTCCATATGAAGAATAGTCTTGATCATTCTTATGAACATTCATAATTCGATTCTAAGACAGTTCTGCTTGGATATTTCACATTAAGCTGATGTCATCAGCTTTTTAGGCACAGCCTAAAAACCATATAATATTCATTATATGAGCGCAACATCCTCAAGTTCTTGCATCAGTCTTACATGTGCAATAATATCCTAGAATCAGTTCACATCTTACATTTTGAGTAACACTAAAATTGAGTTTTAAGAGTAATTTATTCTATATATATACACATATGTGTGTGTATGCGCGCGAAATTATCATACATTCTGCAAGAATACATGCATATATGTATATCTTTTTTTTGCGTTTGTATATCTATTACACATAGTAAAAGAAAGCATCAAGTTATCTTAAGGAGATATGGCGGCACTCAAATTCTGTAACTTCAAAGCGCTATATTTTTTATGTATTGATTTTATGTGAAAAAAATGGCAATGGAGACACTTGTTCACAATCACAAAAAAAAATACAACATATCTCAAAACAGACAATTTGACCGGGGTCATTTTTCCATATAAAACGTGCAGGATCCTTTAGCTCCAATACACATTTATTTTTGGGTACTACGTTGTATTCATCATTCAGCTTTTTCTAAACAAATTCTGTAATGCTTAAAATTTTATAAAATAATATTGTCATTTTGAAAGATAAAAGAACTTTATCTAAAAATCAAAAGATAAAATTTCATGCTATGATATTTAATTCTAAATTTAACACGTAATAAAATATAAATATAAAACTATCAGTATAAAAAAAATTATATAAATATAAAAATAACTTAAAATTAAGTACATGATGATCGTCGTAACCAGTTTCGGTTCTAGGTTTGAGCCCTCCTCAGACGTTAAAAAGCAGTGGACATAATCTCAATTGTAGAAAAACGGTCGTACAAACTTTATTCTACTCCCGTGAGTCTCCAACAGAAAAATGACATTATGGTTATACATGATTGAAAAGTCAATGTATAACCATAACTCTGAAAAGATGGTAAAAAAACTTTCTATATAGATGTTAAACAAATTATGTCACTATGAGAAAACTCACCAAGAAAATCAAACGATAATAATGCTAATTCGATGTGTCGGCATTGTTAATACGTTAATCAGATAAAATACAATAAGTAATAATTAAAAAAGTTTGTACACTGTGGACATTGTGTAAGTCGACTAATAACGTTAAATAACAGATGCAGACTGAGCAAGACCAACAATTATCAATATTAGAAAGTCAAACTTTATTTACAATGGGCACATAAGCCTTATAAAGACCTTCGGTATCTGTTTGTACATTAAGACTATTTTTCTGTTTTTTAATATGAAGCATTTCAGATATTATGCGTTTTCTAAACAAGGTTCTTCATCTAAAATTTTAATGTTGTCCCATTGAAAATCATGATCATAATTAAGTCTATGCTCAGTTATAACAGAACGGGTAGAAGTGTTATGTCTAATGTGATTACGCGATGTTCTGTAATTCTAGTTTTCAATTATTTCATGTATTTAATTTTAAGTTATTTTTATATTTATATAATTTTTTTATACTGATAGTTTTATATTTATATTTTATTACGTGTTAAATTTAGAATTAAATATCATAGCATGAAATTTTATCGTTTGACTCTTACATCGTCCTTTCTGACTTGTATTAATTATTGTTATACTAAGAGTCCTTGAATATTTTCATCTTATTTATCTAAAAAGAAGTTAATAAATTAAAATTTAAAGGCAACTAAATTAAACTAAAAACGTATTCACATTTAAATTAACTAAATTAAGTTAAAAGTTATTACTTTTTTAAGCAAAAAATGAATATTTATTGTCTAAAAACTACTTATGCATGCTTAAATACATATAAATAATTAAATAAACACACGCACACGCACGCACGTACGCACACACACACACGCGCGCGCACACACACACACATATATACACACACACAAATTCTTAAAAGCAATCAGCATGTATAATAATATTATTGTTTACTTATACGCGTTAAAGGCAAACATTAATTTACGTGAGTGTATAAAAAATTTTAACTTACCACGTGAACCCAATATTTGCAATGTATTTCCAATAAACGAATAACCCAGTGGCCGTGGTCCTGGTATAAGTTCGATAAGTTGTCTTTTTCTTCTGTAATGCGCATAATAACTATACACTATAATAACTATAAATGAGAGCAATATAGTAATAAACATCATTTATTCTCAAATATTTAACCAAGATTTGTTTCTTCGGCTTTCTATTTCTTCAATTCTTAAATCACACACGAATCACTAAATGTATGTTATTATTTGCGACAGAACAAAATCATGTTAATTATAGTTTTGATATCCTAAATATGTTTAATAACACACACAACACCAATAAGTCGACTGTCCATCAGCAAAAGAAATCGACTTAAGTTAGAGCAAATGTCAATTTTTAATCAACTAGAAGACAACAAGTTTTTTAACTTTGTCCCAACTATATATTCAGCTATCAATCAAATGTTCCAACTTGTTCCAACTTTATTCAGCTAATGTAGACTTTATGACAACTGTAAGTCTTAATCTTATTTTAATGATCGACTAAATAATGTCGAGTTTGAAAGTCTCAAGTCGACGAAAGAATGTCGACTACTAGTTAGACAAATAATTAGGTGTAGTATGCGAAAAGTGAAAGGTACAGTAAAGTACATCATGTTCTATAGATATTGTACTTATTTATATAACACCCTTGATTTATTTTCTTTAATATATCTGAGATATTATCTATTAAAATATTTATTAATATTAATTATTTTGACATTAGTGCAATTTAAATTCACAATTTAATAACAAAAAAAGGTCTTACCAGTCTATTCTAAATCTTGTGCTTAAATAACGATTCCGTGTGATTTTACATACATATATCCAGTTCTACAACTACGCGACAAAATCTGTCAGTCTCTAAACGTATCCGGTGTAACAAATTTACAAATTAAAGTAATTTTTGTTATACTTTTTAATGTTCACATTATTACAGTAACAATAAACAATGTTATTTTTAATAATCATGTGTGATATTCAGGTATAGATTAAGGGCGGAGGGGGGAGGGGCTAAACCCCGAGCCCTCTATTTTTTTAGGGGGCCTCTTAACCTTATAGCTTAAAATTGTATTTCATTGATAAAAATAAAAATAATACCCCGAACAATCACACTTCTTAAAAATCTTAAACAGAAAATACAAAATATGTTTATATTTTGTTATTATTGTTGTTATTATTTAATAAATAACTTTTATTAAAAATAGATATACGTATATTTTAGTATCTATACTGCTATAAAACAATTCTTATGAATAAAGGAGGCCCCGTTTCAACATCAGTCCCTGGGTCAAAAATACCTTAAGCCGGCTCTGATATTATCAAGGCTGCGTTCCACTTTACGCTCACCCGCTCATGAAATCCTTATTATCATTTCATCCTTGTTGTTTATCAAACGTTAAACAAGGAAAAACATTACTCGTGAGCTTTATGAGAGTTAATTGGAACGTAGCTCAAAAGTGGATATACATATATATGCATAACCATCTATTATAATATTTCAAGAATATTATTTAATATTATACATATAATTGTAATAAAATATTTTTTTAATGTTATTTAAATATTCTGAGAATATCTAGAATATTACCAAATATTAAAAATAATATTATACGCCTATAAAAATTTTTTATTTTGGACAGGTACTTCAGAGGACTCTCGGGAAAAATTTTATTTTTGAAATACCAGGCGCCAACTGCGCCAACTTCACAAAAGTGACATCTCGGCCTTTTTCGTGTACCAAATCTCGTAGGGTAATGTCCACGTTTTGGTGGTTCTCTTCCATACTGTTACATAGATTAGACAAGGATGAACAATCAATTATTTATCCTTGTCTAACCCACGTAATAGTATGGAAGAGAATCTCAAAAACGTGTACATTACCCTATGAGGTTTGATACTCGAAGAAGGCTGGGATGTCCATTCTCCGGTCTTTCTCTTTGGTTTAATATTTCTTAAATTCGTTCAGTTCGTTCAATTAGTCCAAATTAGAAAGAAACTTGTATGGAACAAATATTAAGCCTCAGACACAATGCGTGGGAATAGCGATAGCGATAGCAATAAGGCTGTTTTAACCTATCATAAACCTGTTATATCAGTACACAGCTCTGATTGGTTGAAATTTTAATATTTATTTTACTTCTAATATTTTCTCCATTGTGCGCACGGCCTAAGGAAACAGAGAACGAGCTAGATGTTGCTACGTATGAGAAACAAGAATAAGGAGAATAAGGAGAATAATGGCGTCTCCTCGACCCAAGTCACCTCGAATCCCGGTTTCCACGAAGAAAGAGGACAAGGAAGAAAGCTTTTGGGATAAAATCGGAACTCTTGGACGGAAGAAACGTATTAAAGAAGGTATCGTCTAACTCTCACATGTTATAACCAGTCTAAATTTGCACATATTTGGTTACGTCATTTTCCGAAGCTTATATCCTTATACGGAGCGAGATATGTTTGACAAATGAGGAAAATTGGAGTTGTTTAAAAATAGAAAAACTCCGTTTTTTTAGTCTATATTCGTCTTAGATAAATAAATTATGTGACATTTACTATATAGATACATGTACATCTATAATTAATTCTCATACTCTCTGTAATAAATTTTTTAATTAATTTAACTATACATTTTTAATTAAAGAGCAAGGATTGTAACTTGAGGAATTTATGTGTAACAAGATTACAATTTTTTTAGTGAAAGATGTTCAGGAAGAAGGAAAATACGCGATTGATTCACCAGGGTATGCCGCTAATCCTGACATGCCACCAGAGGAGTACGCTCTTGATGAGAACGAAGAACGTTCTATGATAGAACCAAAATGTTTAGAAGACTCTAAGCTACGAGAATTGATACTCGTCTTGATCGAATGGATCAATGATGAATTGGCTGATCAGCGAATTATTGTGAAAGATATCGTAGAAGATCTTTATGACGGACAAGTGCTGCAAAAACTTTTAGGTATAAATATATACTCATGATCACAAGATAAATTCAGAATAATACTTTGCTCAACTTAACATTTTTTTTTAGAAAAACTAACTGGGGAGAAATTGGATGTACCTGAAGTAACTCAATCTGAAGAAGGACAGAAGCAAAAACTTGCTGTTGTTTTGTCTGCTGCTAATCGTGTTCTGGGTCGATATCCACCTTATAAATGGAGCGTCGAATCTGTACATTCGAAAAATATCGTTGCGATTTTGCATTTGCTGGTTGGTCTAGCACGGCTCTTTCGTGCTCCCGTTAGATTGCCAGAAAGAGTTGCTGTTCAAGTAGTTGTAGTACGTAAAAAGGATGGTCAGTTAATACATAGAACAGTAAGAGAAGAATTAACAACAACGTACGACGATTTGGGTATGCGTTGCGAGCGTGATGCATTTGATACTCTTTTCGATCACGCACCCGACAAATTGGCCGTTGTAAAAAAAGTAAGCTTATTATAGCGATTATATTTGTGACTGTTGTCTTTCTTCTTTCTTACATTTGCTATCTTCTTTTTCAGTCATTGGTAACATTTGTTAATAAGCATTTAAGCAAAGTGCATTTGGAACTAACTGATCTGGATACTCAATTTCACGATGGTGTTTTCTTAATTCTCCTGCTCGGTCTCTTAGAAGGTTTCTTTGTTCCGTTAGGCAGCTTTCATTTGACACCAAGAACCATTGACCAAAAGGTTCATAATGTTTCATTTGCATTTGACATTATGCGAGACATTGGATTACCGAAACCAAAAGCTCGTCCTGAAGGTTTGTAATTTCTGCAATCAGTCGTTAACATTCTAATCTTATCATTTTTTTTTATTTTATATATTTAAACGTCTCTCTTACAGATATCGTAAACCTGGATTTGAAATCTACGCTTCGCGTGTTATATAATCTCTTTACGAAATATAAAGGGATGAATTAATTGATGTATTTAATCAATTAGCTTTACGCGCAAATGTATTACTAAAGATAATAGTCTAACTATTCTAACAATCGCGAAATAATTCTTACTTATTAAACTGCCATTGAAGAGTTATTTATAAAAAAAGAAATTTAACGTCTCATATGCTTGTGATAATTGAATAAGCAGCGTGCGCACAAGTATATGAGAGGGGTGTAACACAGGTCAAAGGCCTAACGTAAGAAGAAATTTTATGTATTGATATGGATTTTTAGCTGTACTTTTTTACGTTTTATTAAGTTTTATTTTTTCTTCTTCTTTTAAACTAATAAATAGTCGATTCGACGAATGAAAATGAAGAAAGAGACTTAAAAATGTACAGCTAAAATAGAAAAGATTTTACACACATGCATATATATATGTATAATAAACTGTAAGTATAATGTGCCTTTTTATATATAGTCGTTTAAAATTAATATATTTTATATAAATATAATATTTATCTCACAGTTTTGATTTGTAACGATGTTATTAAATAAAACCATCATGTGTCTCACTTATTATACTTACAAAGTATATGAGCGAAGAATCCCATTATCAATCTCTAATACAATTTATCATCATACTTTCTAATACATAATTATTCTAATGTAGCATCATAACATTTGGTATCCTAACATATGCGACGTATGTAACGTGAATATTAGTCGTTCACTCCTTTGGAATTGTGTCAACAGCACGATCGTACCTGCCACCGTCATTCTAAGATGATCGATCGGGCACGTACGTGATAGCTGTCTATTGTCTTTCTTTTAGTCTAGTGAAAACGAATATTTGATCTCGTGCACGAGACGTAATTCGATACGGGATCATTGAATATCGCCTATATAATACGTGATAAATTATACGTATTGTACGTATATATGTAAAAAAGATGGGATATCGCGCGCCAGCGCGAATATTCTTTTAGATATTCCTTTTTCTCTGCGTATTTTTCTCTCATATCGATCGTAACTTTGACTATTCAAATCTACATGTTTGCGGTACTCCTTCAATGCTATCTCTTAATCAAAAATAAAATTGCAATAAAATTAATAAAATTATCCGCATTTTCTCACGTTGCGTTTTCTCATGTGATCGCGTGTTCTAATCAACTTTATGTAGTATGACGACACTTTGAGATACAACTACTACATGTATCTATATTAAGGAATGAAAAAATGAACGTATCTTCTTAGGGAAACTTTAGATT